ACTTACTTGGATTGACCAAGGTTTACATTGCGGGTGTCGTCGCTGAAGCAGAAGACGCTTTCTTTTCCGGAACACATGGACTTATTCTCCTTGTACTTGTTCAGGAGTCTCCGTGTAAATCTTTCTTTTGTTCATATTTTACTCTAGGTTTGTGGAATTCGAGTTTGATTGATGATCATGTTGTCATGTTGTCATGTTGTTGTTTTCGTGATTTTTTAAAACTATTCTTCATGATTTTATAGACCGACCAAGACAGACGTAATAAAAAATTGTCGTCGTAAGATGCATGATGTGCGTGATCTTGAAGGTTCGTGCCAAACATGCTAAATGTCTGTTTTCTTTAATTTATTTTTCAATTTGTATTTATGAATAAAGATTATGACTCTGCCGTCAATGTGTCTGGAGTGTGTTTTGTTTTCAATTAGTGTTTATGAATATTAATTATCTATTTCCGTCGTCCTTGATTGAAATGTTCACACGTCAGGACACGGTGGTAGTGTAATAACTAGCACGTCTAAGGTCAATAGGATCATTGCTTTAAGTTATCACCCGCCCCATCTCCACAGCCCAGAGGACTCCATATATTCTTATATAATGAATGTAGTGTTCATTATCAAGTCAATAACGTATAGGTGTATTGTACATAGTACCTCTTATCAATATATAGCTAGATTTCTCACACGTGATTTCCTCTACTGGATAGTTAAAGGGGAGGCATATGGTTGATGTTTAGATGTGTTGTAGGGGGTCGAGAGGGGATATGGTTGATGTTCAGATGTGTTGTGTTGTAGGGGGTCGAGAGGGGATATGATTGATGTTTAGGTGGTTGTGTTGTAGGGGGTGGAGAGGGGATATGGTTGATGTTTAGGTGGTTGTGTTGTAGGGGGTGGAGAGGGGATATGGTTGATGTTTAGGTGGTTGTGTTGTAGGGGGTGGATAGGGGATATGGTTGATGTTTAGATGTGTTGTGTTGTAGGGGGTCGAGAGGGGATATGGTTGTTCTTTAGGTGGTTGTGTTGTAGGGGGTGGAGAGGCGATATGGTTGATGTTTAGGTGGTTGTGTTGTAGGGGGTCGAGAGGGAATATGGTTGATGTTTAGGTGGTTGTGTTGTAGCGGGTACAGAGGGGATATGGTTGATGTTTAGATCTGTTGTGTTGTAGGGGGTCGAGAGGGGATATGGTTGATGTTTAGATGTGTTGTGTTGTAGGGGGTGGAGAGGGGATATGGTTGATGTTTAGGTGGTTGTGTTGTAGGAGTGGAGAGGGGATATGGTTGATGTTTTAGATGGGTTGTGTTGTAGGGGGTACAGAGGGGATATGGTTGATGTTTAGGTGTGTTGTGTTGTAGGGGATACAGAGGGGATATGGTTGATGTTTAGATGTGTTGTGTTGTAGGGGGTCGAGAGGGGATATGGTTGTTGTTATAGATGTGTCGTGTTTTAGGGGATGAGAGGAGGTGTGGTTGATGTATAGATGGGGTGTGTTGTAGGGGGTCGAGAGAGGATATGGTTGATGTTTAGATGTGTTGTGTTGTAGGGGGTCGGGAGGGGATGTGGTTGATGTTTAGATGGGGTGTGTTGTAAGGGATCGAGAGGGGATATGTTTAATGTTAAAAAGGGGTGAGCTGAAACGGGGTGGGGGGGAGGGGGGTGTAAGAAGGGATATGGTTGATGACTTACAGCATCTTTTGTCAATTTCCTACGATGTGTTGCACTCTCACAAAAAGCAACAAAGAAAATATCGACATGATAACAGACTCTCCAAACACAAAAGCAAAGAAACTATCTATGTTACAATATGAAGAAACGAAAGATTTACGCTGACACTTATAAAATAAAGAATAATTCAGGTATTCGTGAAAGGTTTACTGAGTTTTCTGCTCAGCTTTTATCTCCCAATTTTGTTTTTTTTTACCAATGTAACACATGAACATTATTTTTCTGTATTGCTCAAAACTAGTGTGGTATTTCATCAATTTTGAGCTCTTCTATTACCAGGTACAGTTCGTTAAGGTGATGGATTTAAGTAAATCCTGCGGTCTGTAATTCATTATTGAGAACATGAGTGTACACTCGCGTAAACACTCTGGATTAACGCAGCTTTAGAGCCTAATCGGTCCTCAGTTCTTGCTCGTAAATATTCTGTGCGGATCGGTGTGTAATTTATTGAAACCGAGCAGTATCAACATAATTTATCACGCAAAATGATGATCAGCGTGTTAGAGAGTATAATAACAATAAGATTTTCATATTTCAGTTTGAATGTTCTGTGTCAGATCTTATCGTTTTTCAGTTTAATGTTTTAATTATCTACATGTCTACAATACTGTTTTATTTCTAAAATTTACTGCTGTTTGCTTTTCTAAAGCAATAAGGAATCATTTTAATACTGACCCTTCCTACCTGGTTTTGTTACCGTTGGCGATACAATATTGTGTTACCACGCCTATAATACTAAATTATTGTTGATTTTTACATTACAGAAAGATTTCATTGTTAATTAATCTCGTGTTATTGAAAACTGCCTCGCCTCTAATGGGTTAGATACACCACTTAATCTAACGATATCGCCAACTATTCTATGTAAGTCGGTCTTTGTGCACGTCAATGAAGACCCGATCGAATCGTTGATAACTTGTATACAAGACACAGAACCTGAATAGCCAAAGATACTTTATGTTAAGATTACGTTTGTTGGAAGTTTCTATAAATCAGCAGGTTTCTTTCAAATACTTTGCCCTGAAATATGAAAGCTTTTATCATCAAGTTTTATTTGTCAACATTAAGGAATGTTAACATCACTATATAGTATGAATTACATATATATATTCTGAAATCATCCTCGATACTCCAGGAGTTACGTCTAACCTATCTTTTATTCTCTTTGTCGTGACTGTCAATGTATGTTTAAAATCTATTGTTTCTATCATTAATATTATTTCTATTTTTATTTTTTCTGAAACAATTATCTCGTATCAGCACTGTTGCTTTTTTGTCATATCATTACCTTATTATGCTTTTCTTCAAATATGGTGTCCACATTATTCACAAAATTCGGACGTTATATTACCTAATCATGTGACTTTTTTTCTGTGTATCCCAAACTTTTGCCTATTTTCTCTGAATCCTTGATTTTTAACTGTATATATCTTTATAAACCTGATTTTAACCTGCCTATTTTTCTGAATATCTGGCTTTTTATGCCTTTTTTTCTGAATATATGGCTTTTTATGCTTATTATCTGAATCCCTGACTTTTTATGCCTACTCACTCGAAATCCCTTTCTTTATATGCCTGTTTTCTCGGAATTAGTCACTTTTTATGCCTACTCTCTCGGAATCCCTCACGTTTTATGCCTATTTTCTCGGAATCCCTCACTTTTTATGCCTACTCTCTCGGAATCCCTCACTCTTTATGCCTACCCTCTCGAAATCCCTCACTTTTTATGCCTACTCTCTCGGAATCCCTTTCTTTTTATGCCTATTTTCTCGGAATCCCTCACTTTTTATTCCTACTCTCTCGGAATCCCCGACTTTTTATGCCTACTCTCTCGGAATTCCTCACTTTTTATTCCTACTCTCTCGGAATCCCCGACTTTTTATGCCTATTTTCTCGGAATCCCTCACTTTTTATGCCTACTCTCTCGGAATCCCTCACTCTTTATGCCTACTCTCTCGGAATTCCTTACTTTTTATGCCTATTTATCTGAATCCCTCACTTTTTATGCCTTTTTTCTCGGAATCCCTCACATTTTATGCCTACTCTCTCGGAATTCCTCACTTTTTATGCCTACTCTCTCGGAATCCCTCACTCTTTATGCCTACTCTCTCGGAATCCCTCACTTTTTATGCCTACTCTCTGGGAATCCCTTTCTTTTTATGCCTATTTTCTCGGAATCCCTCACTTTTTATTCTTACTCTCTCGGAATCCCCGACTTTTTATGCCTATTTTCTCGGAATCCCTCACTTTTTATGCCTACTCTCTCGGAATCCCTGTCTTTTTATGCCTACTCTCTCGGAATTCCTTACTTTTTATGCCTATTTATCTGAATCCCTCACTTTTTATGCCTTTTTTCTCGGAATCCCTGACTTTTTATGCCTATTTTCTCGGAATCCCTCACTTTTTATGCCTACTCTCTCGGAATCCCTTTCTTTTTATGCCTATTTTCTCGGAATCCCTCACTTTTTATGCCTTTTTTCTCGGAATCCCTCACTTTTTATGCCTACTCTCTCGGAATCCCTTTCTTTTTATGCCTATTTTCTCGGAATCCCTCACTTTTTATTCTTACTCTCTCGGAATCCCCGACTTTTTATGCCTATTTTCTCGGAATCCCTCACTTTTTATGCCTACTCTCTCGGAATCCCTGACTTTTTATGCCTACTCTCTCGGAATCCCTGTCTTTTTATGCCTACTCTCTCGGAATTCCTTACTTTTTATGCCTATTTATCTGAATCCCTCACTTTTTATGCCTTTTTTCTCGGAATCCCTGACTATTTATGCTTACTTTCTTTTAATACCTGACTTTTTTTTCTCGGAATATCTGATCTTTACCAGCACATTTGATCTGGATGCCATTATTTTTTTTTACTTATTTACTCCAAATCCCTGATCTTTACATTTTGCCTGACTTTTGCCAGCTTATTCGCTCTGTATTCATGGCTTTAACTTATTTTTTGCTGTAGACCAAGCCTTTTATTGAATATTTTATCTTAATTTAACGGATGTGATTTTGGGAAAATGTTTTACCCTGTCACTGCGATGATACAATCGTGATCCTTTAATTCCGTGATTATAATACAATTGTGAAAACTTTGCAATTTTATAGTCCTCCTTACTTTGATATAGTGTGCCATATTCCCCGTATTTCGTGTGATCTTACCAAGTGTCTTGGTAATCAAATTATGCTTATCTCACTCATTTCTTGCTGATAACATTTCCTTTATAATTCTTCAAGTTTTCGTTCTTTACATTACTTCTTTCTGCCTGGCTTTAGGTACTTACCTTTATGGGTTTCTGGGTTAGCACGTATTGCCGTCGCCTCCAGATCTGGGTTCCAGACCTTCCCTGGAGTCAGAGATGGGAACTCTAGGGTCTTCGATCTCTCAATGAAAGGACCAGTATACTCCATATCTTTCTTTTTTCTGGTATACGATGACCTAAACGGCAAAATTTCCGGCTCACTCTCGTGAGCTGACTTCCGTTTGTGACGTTGTCGGCATGCCTTTGCTCGCTTCCGGTTCACAATAACAATACTCAATCTGTTACCTAATGCGTTTTTCGACAGATCAATCGAATCTGATGAAGAACTATCTGCTATACACTCACCAGCCAGATTCGAGTTTGATACATTCGTTCCTTTCACAGACAGAAGAGGGTTTTCACCGTGTAATTTCGGTATGCTAGCTACAGCAGGAGCCACGTGTGGAATTGTTTCAACCACTTCCGGTGTACTGACAGAATCACTTCCGGCTGAGGCATTTTCTGATGTGACAATTTCGATTGAGCCTTTCGTTGTATTTCCGGGTGCAATACGGAATAAGCTAGATGAAAAAGCCTCTTCGTTGGAACCTGTAATTTTAAGAGTAGGGAGGTCACTCTGTTTTCGAGCAAGAGTTCGAGCCGATCCCTCAAGCGTATAATTGGGTGGTGATTTTCGACTTTGTCTCGGTAACGATTTGCTAGTTTTGGCACTGGGAAATGCGTTTCTTGGTTCATTCGAAGAAGTAATTTGAGTGTTTTGAACCTTTTTCTGTTCTTCGACGTCTGTTGATATATCTGGTAGGGTCACTATGATTTTCCGTTTGTTTTGAGGTGATGAAGACGATGTCTCAGAACTCTCCTCGTCAAACTTCATACTGTCGTGGGACGCTAGACTGGGTAGTGGAGCACGTGATCCCCACGTGTCCTCCCTCTGTAATGCTGTTTCACCACTCGGAGGGACAGGGTGGATGGGATCAGTAACGTTTATAGGAATAGATGTGGTGCTTCGGGCAAACGTTACATTTGGCTTCGGCTTTTCATATGTCGATGATATAAACGTAATTTGATTGTTGACCTTAGTCACGGGTGCTGATCGTTGCACAGGCTTGCCGGGGGACGTCACCGCAGGGGCAGGCGAACATTTCGACAACCCTTTCGTCGGCGAAGGAGTCGGATTATCTGTAGTCACAGTGACTACATGTAGTGGCGTATTTTCAGAAGACGAAGCCAAAGCTACCGATGTCGATGGCTCTGATACTGATAACGACGATTGTACCGCCGATACGACTTGTGTAGACGTCAGCCTCGGACTGGTCACTAAGGGAACATCTACAGTACCAACATCTGAGCAGACTGTCGAGATCGCAGCAGCTGACGTCGCTCTCGATTTTGAATCCTGTATATGGACAGATTCCTCTTCTACATGTTTGTCCTCGTCAGTATCTACAATGTAAGCGTCTGCCAGCACGGTGATATTATCGGTAGAAGGCGAGTTAAACCGCCTTTCCTCTTTTTCAGGTGAACCGACTACATTGGGCGTATCTTCCTGTGTGTGAACCACTGATTTGTCCGTGTCCTCTGCATTTATCTGGCCTTCTATTGTCCATTCTGTAAACGGGGTCGTGTAAAACATGTCTCCTATGTCATTGTAAGCACCCGTTGTAAGCGGACCATAGTCCCAAGCTTGTTTGGGTTTCACGTTCATGTGCAGACGTAGAGGCCTTTGATTTCTCACATTGGCTTTGAATTTCTCCATAACTTTATTCACCAGTAATTTCAACCTTTTCCGTTGTAGATATTTACGTGTAGTTTTGGGTTTTTCAATGCTTTCGTCCTGTTCCATTGTGGCTTTGTTGTCGTATTGTGGCTCTGACGGGTCCACGAATGACACAGTACGCTTAGACACACCGCCATTCTCAATTTCCCTTTTATTAAATGTGTCTAACAGTAGGCTATTGTTCTCGATATCCTCTACGTCAGACTCTAACTCACCTACATCCGAGAAATCATCAACACCGTTTGACAAAAAACTGGATTCTCTGATCTCAGAATCAATCTCACTAATTTGTTGATGTTGAGTATCCGGGTCCTGTGCGAGGAGCGCTGACGTGTTGATGTAGTGACCGGGTACAGAGGAGGTGTTGTTGTGAGTCGGTGATAGGTCCTCTCTAGGAGGCAAATCACCAGACTCCGATACTTGACTCATATTTAAAAACACGCAACTTTACACATTTAAACAGCTGATGAATTCTAGTCCTCTTAAAATCACAAACTATCCAACAAACAATCCTGTTTTTTTCACACGATAGCGCGGTATATGATCCAATATCTGATAGTATTTCTGATGACAAAAGAAAACATTGTTTGTGAAGCTTTTTAAACGATTAAACTTCCTAAACAAACCCGTCCATCGTTTCTGAGTTTCTCCAGCACTGTGTTTAAATACCGGCCTTCCACTTCCGAACGGACATTGTCAAATAACACTGCAATAGATTATTGTCATGGAGGGAGTTCCATCATGATCGGTCTGGTTATACAAAAGAACTCGCAAACACTGCTTTCAGCACCACAAGGCGGCGATCACTCGGAAGAGCAAGTCTTTTGAGCGTTTTGCACCTCATTGTGTGCTGGCAGGTACACAGGCAATATGTGATTAAGTATCTCTGGACCTGGTAGATCTATGTGTATATATATATACATACATATGTGTTAGACTATATAGAATGACGGGTGGTAACACAAGACAAACACATAAAAGGCATATATGGAGATTTAATTTAGATAATTATCGATTTGACAAAATGTTGTAAACTCGCCATTATAACATTGATATAACTCACGTATGTATGTGTAGATGTTTGGGTTCTATTAATCATTCATTATACAGGCGTTCGCTCAAGGTTCGGGTATTGATCACTCTCTACAACATATTTGTATACAAATTAGATTTATTTATCTGTGTAATATTTGCCTGGAGGCCAGTAAACAATTACAACCTACATATGTACCTACACCAACTAACCACATTGTTCATTGCTCATAAACACCATTACTGTGTATAAACGCTATTTCTAAACAAGATGAAGTAGAATGCATATATCCTCCCAACCATTAATGTTCCGAAAGTCATGTTTGGCTCTCTCATTGGTCATACATGTACATATTATAAACATAATTTCATTTATAAGATTGGGAAGGAGGTTCTGGGTTCTGGTTGAAACGTGTCGTGTTTGTGTCGTATATTATATCGATAATAATGGGTTTATGTTACTCTGACTTTGGATGACCTCTCTCATGTTAATATCACCGAGGTTAACTACTTATATACAGGTAAATATGACGTTTACATACACAGCTAAACGTGATAATGTATACTGAAGTCGATACGTGTTCCATTTTTTTTAGGAAAGTGATTTCACTGACCTTAAAGGCTTTCCGATCGAGTTGTCAAACATTAGTGGTCAATTTTACATGGTTCCTTCAGTGCGAGTGTCATATCAGTGTGATTTAAACCATCACTTGTGTAAACTGTGTAAATAGGTCTCGGAGTATCCTTTTTATAATGACGGAACCAACCATCTGACAGTAATCCGCAAGTTATACGGACTGTTTACTTGTACTTGGTGAAATTTAATGAATGGTGTGAGTGGATGAATAAAAACAAGTACGCTTGCTTGTGTAAAAAATTATTGGTTATTCTTTATATACAGTACTTTCAAACAAAACTGATAATCGCTTTCGTCGATTCATAGCTATAAGTTAGTTATAAATTCGTTTCGAAAATGAATATGTAGTATTCGGATTAAAAAAAAAACGAAGACAAAAATGTATAGTGTTCACATTTGCAATTACTTGGAGTGGTAGCCTTTGTAACATTATTGTCAGTGAACATTTGAACCAGTGAGACATATATCAGATAATGTGTAGCACATAAGAATGCATGATCTTGTGAAATCCAATTTCCTAATTTCGATTTAACGAGAAATCCAAGGTGGTCCGTATCTACGTTGTTCTCCCGTCAGAAGTATTTCTCACGTTTAATTACCTTTAAAAGTTGTTACCTTTCATACTTTGATGTGTTGATAAAGATAACTTCACGGTTATTTTAAACTGTAAATGACCTTTGGAAATTATATATGCCATAAATGCAATCAGTGGACTTGATTCTGATACATTTCTTGGTAGGAGCTATATATGAAACACCTATTTACACAAGGGATACATATCTCCAGTTCACAATCCTGCGTGATACCAATCAACGTGGCAATTTCCTAATTACATACTTGTCAATTAAACACGTGCATTTGTCGATTAAAGCACCTGTTTTGATTACATTTCTATTTATGACGATCACGAACAAACAATGGTTAATATAAAAAATTCTAGGTATACAGATTGTGTATTTACGATACCGGGTTTAGACCCAGAAGTAAGCGTTAAGTATCTCCGGACATCTGCATAGTGGTTTTAATTATGTGGTTTAACAGATATAGATATTAGTGTTAACATTCAATATATATATATATATATATATATATATATATATATATATATATATATATAGGTTATATATATATATATATATATATATCTACAGGTAACAAGACCAATAAAATATAAATTTAAGAAATATTACGGTAGGTAAATGGGGACCATAGAATTATTGTATATATATAACGCCGTGATTTTAAACCAAATTGGTGCTAGCCCATTTGGTATTTGACGACAAGCCATGATTTGGCAATGTTCTTAATCTTACGAAACTCGTCACTATAGTCCATAATATTGGTACAAAGTATTTCTAATTTGAAAAAGAACATCAGTAGTACATGTGTATATTCTAACTCGTGCAACTATTCGATAATCCACAGGTTAAAAAAAAGTTACAATATTTGGTGGTAGATGCCTGGGACGAAGCGCGACACGATCTCGAAGACATGACCTTGACCCAGATTCAAGGTCACGGTGTCAAATTTGTTAAAACTCTCAAACAACTAATTCTGATTTACCGAAGGCGTGAAATGAGAGATTTAATCGATAGGTTCAATGGACGAAGACCGACAAAGTTTACGAAAAAAGAGGAAACGACGCTGATTCGTATTCAGTCACAAGAGTCGATTAATTAAAACACTCCAATAAATTCCTTTGATCATAAAATTGTATTGACTGAAATCGTTCACAAAAGGGTTCATCAAATGTAGACGACATCAAATAGTTTCTTTAGTCAAAGTAAGGTATTCAAACTAATGATGACGTGTATGACCAAGACGATTTCTCCTTTTAGGAACAAAAATGAGAACACCTGTTCAACTGCATCCAGTTCTAAACAAATTAACTTCAGAATCTATAATGTAATTGATACATGTTCGCTTCAAGGTTTACAGTAGAGCGACCTTTCAGCCATCGTCGTAATTGTCATTTTGTTTAATGAAATATATGTTAACTGCCTTAGATGAAATCTCGGAGAGTAGTCAGCTTTAAATCAATATTTTATATACTGACGTGACCTAATGGTTGGTCAATTGTTCAGTCTAAGTGACTCCTATATTGCTTAAATGCACCTCAGTGTTGTTTACCGGCGGATTGTAACCTTTGACTAGCGAACATGGTGCTATGTCAGTTAGTCCGGAAAAAATACTCATTTCGCTAACGTGTATTTTCAATTTCTGGAAAGCAACATTCCTGCATCCCCAACCTATGGTGTTCACATGTCACAGTCGATTCGATAATCAATGGCCTGTTCCCATTACCACGATTTTCGTGCAAGATGTCGGCAATTGGCAAAATCACAACACGGGGTTCTGTTACATGCAGTTTGATGAAAATCACGGTGAAGTTTTACGGTCGTCATAGTGATCTCATTGAGAAATATTCTATTTCTCTGTGCAATATGAAGCTGGATTTTTATACGCTCGTTAGTTTGTCTGTTCTGTTTTTTGTATACCTTGTTCTTATTTGGGAACGTCACATTAATTACTTGGATTGGCCAAGATTTAAAATAGTGGAAGCCGTCGATGAAGCAGAAAACGCTTACCGTTTCGGAACTTCTCAGGTGTCTCCGTGATAACCTTTCTTTTCTTTATATTTTAACCTGTTTTTGTTGAATTTGAGTTTGGATTCTGCTGAGATATTTGAGTTTTCTTTGTTGTTTTTTTCAATATCATAACCAGTTAGAAAAAATCATGTGATTATCAAATGACCGGGTAAAATAAAAACATCTGATCATTTCAGATACTCGCCAATGAACCCTTAGAGAAGACCCAATCCTATGTTACTTGCCAGTCCAGAGAATTCCATGTGATTGTCCAGATATTATTAAAACTTTCTTGAGATCAGAGCTGTGGTAGGCAATCGATCGATACTAGTCAATATCGTCTAATAAACCCATGTTGGGTTATCGTCCTGATATTTCAATTTAAAACTAGAGACACGACCCACTTCTGTTAGGAGATCGTTCCGATATGGGTAATCTGCTCTAGATAGGACCGGTCACATGACACCGATATATCTAGTCTCGAGAAGGCGACAACTGTTTAAGGCGATCGTCCCGATACTGGTAAATCTGCTCCAGATAGGACCATTCAATCTTGTCTAGAGAGGGCGACAAATGTTAGATAATCGTTCATATACACAGTAGTCAAACCTAATCTTGACACAGTACCCATTTACAGTTTTGGGTGTCTGAGATTTGACCTTCACCTTTCAGATCCCCACTATATTCTCTTGACACATTTCCAAGATCTATGTTTTTGTTAACAAAGCAAAAGAACATCTTACTCGGCTGATAATCATTCATCTTCTAAGGTAGCCAGATAAAGGTGTTTAGTACACCTGGACGCAAATCATGTACCACAGCTATCCTGAATGATTACTCTTACATGTTTATTTTTTTCTTCACAACCCAAAGAATAAAGGAAGCAATCTTCCAGATAAAACATTTTAGAAATAATCTTTACAGAGAGCAACCAACATTTTACTAGTAGTTCAATTTATCTAATTAAAACCTATGCTTCTGATCATGCAATATTCAAAATGAACCACAGTAATTTATTTTATATCAAAGTCGTGTAATCAATCTTTACAATATGCTTGCGAGATGTTACCATTGATTTATTTTAGATGTTACCACTGAATTTTTTTTAAATGTTACCACACATTATGTTACCGATGAATTTTTGAGATGTTATCACAGAATGTTTTGTTACCACTGAATTTTTGAGATGTTACCACTGAATTTGTGAGATGTTACCACGAAATGTTTCAAATATATGATCCTATGCGATTTAGCAGTTGATTATTCAAACTTGACTGGGAGCTCGGAGTTCATCATAGCAAGCCACAGATTATATACATAGTTGTAAATTAATCGAAATTGCTTCAACTGTTTAATATCCATGATCTGTCGAGGCATTCGGGGGTATTAATGTATATGCGAGAACATATCGAATGTTGATACATGCGAAATATCACGAACCAGGATAAGCATTAAAACAATGGATTCCCAAGATTCCATTTAAACAAATTTGAACGTCCTCTATTCAGACAAATTTCTTCTTTTTCAATAAGAAAAAATGACCAATCATGATGAAAGTAGGCAAATGGTAATTGATTCGTTTAAACAGACAGGACAGTCATTTATCCAAAAACATCTCTGGACAGTCATCCAGAATCTACTTTTAAACAGCTGAAAAGACAATGGATATTTCGCCATGACCTAGGTACACTTCCATTGTGGGAAATATTTCTATAAAAGACCATTGAAATTTTTTCTCTTTGTAATGGAGGGATTTAAGAATTACCTTAACCTTGTATGGTTTACTATGCCGAGTCCATTGCTCAGTTTGACAAAATAATTTACTATGCTGAATCCATTGTACAGTTAGACACAATTGACTTATTGTCACTGACAAACATGTTCCTGCTGATTACAAAAGAAGAAACTCATATTGTCTTCAGATGAATTTATTGACAACATTGATATTTATGTCGACGTAATGCACAGTTTTATCACATCTAAGTCAGGAAAATTTTTCAGTGACCTGTAAAATGACTCTAGCTAAACTTTCACATAAACAATGATTTGCTTACAAAAGTTTACTTATTTTGGGACTCCAACACTATCAAATGCTTATGAATATTGCCAAATTAGATTCTCCAAAATCTTAAAATTACCAGGTATGAATTCTAATTTAATTGCTACTAACACTATATATACATAATCTGTTATCACAAATGAATAAATAATGATAGTTGGGAAAGGTACAGGACATTACACAATCAAAGTGCTATGATGACAGGGAGACAATTCAACATTCAAAAAGGACCTCATGCTAATTGTTTCCAGTTTTTGTTAAAAAATTGTTTTACCTCATCATAATTGATACATTTGGAAATGAGCCAAAATATACAATGAGAACCAAGATTTTGAAGTCCATCATTTGACATGGTAAAATTAAAAAAATGAAATGAAAAAGAATTTTCAATGTTAAAAGAATGACACAAAGTACACAGAACACTACAGCACAAGTGTCCTACTACAACTAGTAACAGTGATGTATGTAAAAATCTGCTGAACCAGACTCGGCTACATTATTGTTATCATGTCTTTATGTGGTCCTTGTCCATCATTATCAGTGTTTCCTGAAAGCGTAATTCTGAGTGCTAAGGTCGAAACCAATTCAGATACCTCCAGTTTCTACCCTGATATTAATGTGTCTTTTTCTCAATCTTGGAGAAAAAGCTTCTGATACACCTTTTACTGTCAGTATGTTAAATCACCCAAGCACAATTCACTTCAAGCACACTGTCTGTATATCAAATTTCATTACTCACACTCAACTGTGTTCTGACATTATGACATAAGCCCTTGATTGGTGAAAAATTAACTGTCATTTGTGTGTATCAGTATGGATCAGCCCTTTACAGAAAGGAATTGACACCAGTATTATCTTGTATGCATTATCTGCAAATCTACACAACAAGCTTTTAGGTTCACTTCTTTTTCTTTGGTCGTCCTCGGTTGTCTGGTGTGCCATCAGCTTTCCTCTTCTGTCCTCCCTGAAAAAGATTTCATTCAAAATTGAAAAAAGAAAGAGAAGTCTGTATTTTTTCTGTTAAACAACAAAAATTTCTAGGTGCTTCAGACCTCACACTGAATTTTACCATTAAACAAGCATGTATTATTTACAGGTATTCAATTTGGTTGGTTGTACAATGGATAAGACTTTACATGGCTTTGCATGCTGAAAAAATTTATTGCCTAATGCTTGCAGTTTTTCCACTTTTTTATTTACCTGCAGTAAGCTTTAAATGAACATACACATGTCTGTCATGAAGATAGAATGAAATTAGTCTAAGCTTTACTAACATGTGAGCATTTCATGGCAAACAAATTAAGTCCCAGCTTTATAAACTTCCTAACATCAGTAACAGTGACTGATGAAATATCTTGAGAACTTAGTCAACCAATTACTATTTATCTGAAAATGTGTTTTTCAAGTCGTGACAGGACAGACATTTTAACAAGACAATTACAGCACAAACAAAACATGTGGCCAATTACCTTTGCTCCTGATTTTGGTCCCTTTCTCTTCCTCTCAGCTTTCTCTTTTTCTTCCATCTCCATATTCTCTCTCTCTATCAATGTTATCAGAGTATTACAACGTCTCTGAAGCTCCTGTTAAGCAAAAAGAACACCATCAGTAAGTTTCTAAGTATTTTTCTACAGTTATTTAAGATAACTAAAATAAAAAGTTAATATTAAAAATTGGAATTTAGTTCTCTGACAAAAGGAATTGTTTTTGTAGGTGATGCATGTTATGAACAATGAATGACCATCAAACAAATCAAAACCTACCATTGCTGTTCGTGACTTGATGAACCAGTCGAACCTGAACTGTGGGGCCTGCCTGACAGCTGTGCGGAGTTCATCATAAACATTCTCCTTGTCAAAGCCGAGTTTGTGAAGCATACAGATGAGGAAGCGGTCCTCTTCTTCAGTGTAGTTCTTACCCTTGTTTGTACCATACTGGATCCTCAGCTGATGGAATGGTGCTCGGTACCTTGCCATCTGTACATAAAGACTCCCAATTATAACTGACATATTACCAATTTACAGGGTGCCATAACATTTGTCAGGAGGTGGGGTTATTAAAGGACAAGGTATCAGCAATGGTTGGCGATTCAACTATTATTCATGAGGTTATTACCAGACAAATATAGCAATATTTACACAATCTGGATTTGCCTATGATCACATAGACTTGAAAATTGGTTTGACCAAGAGATTTATTTTCAATCAATTTTTAGACTTTGATGGAAAATGTTTTGAAAATTATTCCCAATGTTAATTTCATCAGTAGATACCTTTGCATCCAGTGCCTTCTTGATACTGATCCTACGCTGTATCTTGGCTTCTCCACGTTCCACTTGGGACATGATTTTGTCGATGTCCTGTAGCTCATTACATCTCTCCCAGAACACACCAGAGTATTCCATCACCTGTTGTAAAACATAACCCAACATTAGGAAAGATAGAAGGATAAACTATTTAGTAATCTATCTGCTCCCTGATATGAAATGTAAATTACAAAGCCTATTGTCCTGAGCAGTACAGAGCAGAATGGTTCATAAACAGCAATATTATGAAATATAAAGTCAGAATACTGAGGACATATCCAAATTATGATTATGAGTAGGATATCTGATGTATAGAACATAATGTTACCTCATCAGGAGTCTTTCCCTCAACATCCCTGGCAATGCTATCCAAGTCATCTCGACCATACTTCTCATTGGCTTTGATAAATTGGTTGAAGTCTCTTTTACTCCAATTGGTGAAACCCTGTAATTCAAATATGAAAAGTTAACTGCTTGCTACACTTTACAAAGAAGGTATTTGAAATAACATATTTTTCCACTGTTGTTGTAACTATGATTTTTGAAATAAGTTTCATATGTACGACTTGTCTACCCATGTATCTGGTAAGACGTTTGTAATCTGTTACCTCATATGTACGACTTGTCTACCAATGTATCTGTAAGATGTTTGTAATCTGTTACCTCATATGTACGACTTGTCTACCCATGTATCTGGTAAGACGTTTGTAATCTGTTACCTCATATGTACGACTTGTCTACCCATGTATCTGGTAAGACGTTTGTAATCTGTTACCTCATATGTACGACTTGTCTACCAATGTATCTGGTAAGATGTTTGTAATCTGTTACCTCATATGTACGACTTGTCTACCCATGTATCTGGTAAGACGTTTGTAATCTGTTACCTCATATGTACGACTTGTCTACCCATGTATCTGGTAAGATGTTTGTAATCTGTAAGATGTTTGTAATCTGTTACCTCATATGTACGACTTGTCTACCCAATCTGGTAAGACGTTCAAATCTGTTACCTCATATGTACGAGTTAACTGTTACCTTGTACGACTTGTCTACCCATGTATCTACACTTTACAATATGTAACTTGATATTTGAAATAACACATTTTTCTACCAATGTATGGTTGTTGTAATCTGTTACCTCATATGTACGACTTGTCTACCCATGTATCTGGTAAGATGTTTGTAATCTGTTACCTCATATGTACGACTTGTCTACCAATGTATCTGGTAAGATTTTTGTAATCTGTTACCTCATTTAGAAGCTCCTCCTTCTCTTTCAATTCATCCTCATTTAAGACCTCGGCCTCATCAATCCTTTGTTGTTCTTCTTTCCTGATGCGTTCAGCGTCAGACCCTAGGTCAGGGTTCCTTGGTACACGGTAGCCAATGGACTTCCGATAAAAATAGATCTCCTTGTCTAGGAGTTCAAACAACCTTGGAGGAAAGAATTGGAAGTCCTGGACATTGGGCTGTTTGGGTGGTCTAGGCGCCTGTGAGAAAATTCCAGGTTGACATTGTAGAATAATTTAATGGCAGAATATAGATAAGTATATATATATATAAGTCCAATCACATCCCTGAATATACTTGCTTCTAAAACATTAAATTATCATAAAACAATTCATCATTAAATCTAAGCTATGTATAATATACTAGAGATTATGTCAAAAGCCTCAAATATATTCAAAATGATTCAAAATGATATATTAAATGATATCAAGACATTAGATGATCATATCTAGCATATATTTACCTGGTCCTAAGATAAGCAGAAATTAAATATACCATTTCAAATCATTTTGTTTCCAATGTCAAAAACATTCACAATAACTTTCTAAGACTTTTTCAACATTTTCTTTCCCAATGTTGACATAAATTGATAAATGCATCTCTGTTCAACACTCACTATCATGTTATATATCTATGATAAACATCTACTTGACCATACTATACCATTTCTTTAACATTATTTGTAGAAGCCTACCTTAGGTGCCTTTGGTTCACTGACTCGTAATGCCTCTCTGAAATAGGCATCAACGGCATAGTTGGCCTTCCTTTCTCTCTTCGGTGGCTCAATCCACAGACCCATACCTCCCTTGTGTTTTTCTCTGTAATCTTGACCCTCAAACTGGTACACACTATCACTTGGTGTGTCTAAGGTAAATGTGGCCAAGGAACTCTCCCCTAATCCTGCCAATTTTTCCTTCATTTCCTCTGTCTGTTATTCACGAAAATGAAAGAAAGGATTAAAAGACAGTCTATGGATGTGTGTATATATATAATTATGAATGGAACCGAGTTTTCTAGCTGACTTGAAATTGAGTGATAGTATTTTGATGCTGTTGATCCTCTGTTCATGTTAACATGGTTGCCTCACCTTTTTCTCCCCTCTCTCCAAGATTAAATCAATATCCTCATCAGTGATTTCTGATTCTTTTGAGGCAAATACATGACTGGCACCATGTCGGATCATATTTAATACATCCTCCTTCCCTAATCGGTTGGTGTTCTGGTCGACTAAGCGTCCTTTAATCATCAAACAGAAAAATTCAATATTCAACAATGAATTTGTCTCATTTCCATCATGTTAAATAATTACTGTCAACTGTCCATCTTACTTAGAAGAGATAGAGGTTAAAGTAAATGACAGTATCATACTGAAAGTAATTCTCTAACTGAGGTGTCTACAGTTTAGGAATAAAGAGAATCAGTTGATTTCAAGAGAAAAAGTGACAAGTCATTAAATCAGACAATTTTATATGGATTTCATTCCATTCATTTAAGAATTTAAGGCAAAATTTTCTGAAGCAAATGTTAAATATAATGTATAATATTCTTGAATTTTTTTAATGCTTTTGAAGCGTCTGTCTTAAACTCGAGCAGCTTTGTTGTCAAATGTTATCAACTGTTAAGAGGATGAATACCTTGTTGTATAACAATGTTATCCAGTTTGAGTTTCATTTCTGCTCTTTCCACAATTCTTTCCTCCACAGTGTTCTCAGTAATGAAACGGAACACTCTCACCTGCTTCTGCTGTCCGATACGATGGGCACGGTCCTACGAAGAGGAAGTATCATATTACAAATCAAGGTTTACTTAATTAAACTCTAACACCACAAATAGATCATATATCCAGGTTTACCTCACCGAGATAGGAACATTTAACTCTTAATGATTTTGTATACACCTATATCAGCCATAGTGACATTTACTGCATACAGCTCACTGATTCATCTATATAAAATACAGTGAGGTTCAAATATTTACTGTAAGTCAGCAGATAACTGTTTATATTTTATTAGATGTCTATCAGACATGAATGCCCACACCCCCATACATATAAATATCATTTGAAATGTTACACGATACGACCTATGACACTTTAACCTTGACTGATAACATCTCAATGTAAGGTGTAGAACTACCACTATGGGGTAAATATGAACCTATTTTCAGAACAGGACAGGATGTGATGGACATAAATGAGGTCAGGGTAGCCTTTAATCATGAATAGAAAACAAACCAAATCTAATCAAGTTAAGGACTTTTTGTTATCATAACTTGGTGTAAATAAGAACTTAATCTGTTTCGATGTTCATTGGTAATTATGTTCACAAGCTACTCAAACTTGGTTAAGTGTCTTCAGAAAATGGCTAACAATCAGATGGACAATTGATAATGTTATCTCAATAGTGCTGTGTGGTCAGTATCATACCATAGCCTGAAGGTCAACTTGTGGGTTCCAGTCAGAGTCGTACAGGATGACACAGTCTGCAGTAGCCAAGTTGATTCCCAGTCCACCAGCTCTTGTACTCAACATGAACACGAATTTGGTACTGCCTGGCATGTTGAAATCATTGATTGACACCTAATGAAACAAGATATTGATAAACTTAATTAGCTTATACCATCCATGTAAATAGGGAAATCAATCACAGAAAACAGATATTAATACATAACATTCAAAGTAAGTAGCTTTATAAAAGCTGAAAAACTGACAAATTCTGTAACTGAATTATTATATTATAGTATTTTGTAAGATATTAATTAATACAAACACAAGTGATGCCTCCGAAAAAACCTGTTTCCCCATTTGGAATGGAAATAATTGTTTAGAAAAAGTTTCCCAAAAACTTCTAAGCTAAAGTTGGTGGACAAAACTGATATTCTATAATGCCCATTAAAATTTTGTAAAGATATTATATTAGCTTTGAAATATCTGAACGGAGTAGATTCACTTCTAGGCCACCAACAAACTACAGAATGTGTTGCTAAATGTAGTGCTTTTAAAGACCATTTGACATGATGTAAGGAGGACAATGTTAAACGTACTTAGACTCAGACAATAAGTTTCGGTCATAATTTCAATATCAATCATCACAAATTTTGTATTTTAATAAGGCTAATAGCTTACTGTTCTGTCTTCATGGGGTGTGCTTCCATCCAATCGACAATAGTTGTAGTTTTTCCAGAAACAATAATCCTCGAGGATGTCAAGTACTCTGGTCATTTGACTGAAGATCAGTACTCTTGAGCCTAAAGTAATAAATCCATCTCATTACCTTACCACTTCAATCATAAATAGCATATAGCTTGCTTTTAATATTTTCCATTTGAATTGTAAACAAGGCATTGCATACGATACAAATCCCCTCGCTCCCATTTTTAATCAAGTTGTGTTGCATCTAAAATTTCCTGAAATAGTAAACGTGGCCTTAACATTGACCCTGGCACACTGAGACAGGAACTTGTTAAAGATAATATGAGAAGTTTGATAAAAAAATATGTTAAGAAATGAAGTTGCAACAGAGATGACAAAAGTGAACATATGTATGTATGTATTACATATGTACAAATGTTTACTATACTAAATTGAACACTATATCCTCTCCATGGTCGCTGTGAGGGGATAACAAACAATAATAACTACAACACTGAATAAGAATTCTCCTTCACTAATGAAGCTAAAAAAAATAACGAAATTTTAAAAATTCAAATTACAGTTAAAGATGCACTTTTTAGGGTTTTTCTTATAGTATTGTACATATATAACTACCCTGACAGGGTTTACTTACCTTGGGCTTTCAGTTTGGGCAAGAGTTTATCCAGGATCACCATTTTACCACAGTTATCCACCAAGTGTTGATCTGTGGTGTATGGCGGACCTACAAAACAAAGTTAAAATATTACATGGTGTCTTCCACAAACTTTAATGACTAAGCATCTAAAACATCCAGAAGACCATATGTTAGAATATTCCAGTAAAACACTGAAATACATTCAGTTTCTTCATTTTTGAACTCCTGTTGTGGAGGTGTGTAAAAAGGTTGCTTCAAGTACCAATTATTGAACTGAACATTTATCCAACAGACAAAATGCTGCATGATAAATGGAAAGCAGTAAGTTGAAAACTACTTCATACAAAGCTTAACAGTTCTATGATAATTTGTTTAATACGCAAATTGTTGTTTTATATGGTTAAATCACTATTGTGCTTCCATGACTAGGATTTCATGTTCTTCCTAAAACAGATAACTGGATGATGCTTGATATGTAGAAGACAAGAAAATGCTCCTAAGTTTGTTTTAGAGAAATCAATTTGTTGACAAGTTGTTTCTGATTGATGTGGATACTCTCTGTTTAGCTTTCCTACATACCAGGCTCTGCTCCGTCAAATAGATATGGATGGTTTGCACATTTCCGCAACTGCATGAGAATATTTAGCAATCTCATCTTGTCACTTTTACCAGCACCATTAACAACATCAATATCCTTCATCAGGATCTTCGTATACCTGCCAAATCAGATAAACATGTTATAAGCTTCAATTGTGTTGAAAGGTTGGTAATGTAGGTGTTCAGAATAATATACAGACACATTAGACCGAAAGAATCAATCAGAATTTGTAAGCAATTTAGATGATTATTTTTTGTGAAACAACTGATGAGATGTACAAACCAGTAGACAAGAGCATATGGAAAAATCTTGGTATCTTCCAAGGACACAAGAGTTATTGAAATAAAAACATAAATACTTAAGAAAATATTACTTTTCTATTCCACAAAGACAAAAATAATTAGAAGCAAAGGAAAACCCTTACCATTCTCTCTGCATTTTACTGAGCCCTACAAAGATCTTCACTTCCTTTTTCGGCAACAATTTTTTTTCCACTTCTGACTTTATACGTCTCAATAAAAAGGGTCTTAGGACCTGTAATTGTGAAATTGAGACATATCATGACTATGTACAACTCATATTATTAGTCTTAGAAGAACAATGAAGTATAAAACAAAACAATGAGTCAGTAAAACCTTTATGCCTTGTGTCATTAATGTTACAGCAAAAAAAGCATTGTTTTTTGGTCTAACTTATTAATATCTACTTGAGTTATTGACATTCTGTATCCTATCAAAATGTACCATATTGTAGGTAAACATTGTGAGATGTACTGGATTATGACATAGGTGTATTGTTACAGTCCTAAATGAGACATATCAAAGAGGTTCAGGGGATTATATAACATGGATTTAAGTAGTAGACAGGGGAAACAATTCTGTACAAAAATGAGAAAGTATACCCTTACATCCCTTCCCCTAAAACTATGGCCTTAAAAATGCTTGAATATCAGTTTAAAATGTTCCCAGATTTTCTGATCCAATTCCTTAAAACTTGAAATATCAATATATGGTTCATTAACAATGGATTAGATTGTAAAAATACTTACAATGTGCAGTCTTTCCACAAGCTCTTTGTCACCAAGACAACTGTTTGTATTAAACCAGGAATCAAAATCCTACAAAAGCATGTAAACAATGACTTTCATGATGATCTGTCGATGTTGTTTGACATTTTGTATTAACGAGAAAACTTGACTCTTAGGGACATCTATAATGCACTACAGCATGAAATTTAACAGATCTACCTGTCTTATATTACATGATTGAACAGGACCCAATGAATCAAAGCACTGCAAATTAGATGTGAACAAGTGATGAGTAGCATAAATTGAAACAGAATAATTCTAAGATTCTTCTTCAATTTATAACAATTTTCTCCTCCTGAATCATTATTTATTATTTTGATAATGCTGTGACATTTAATATTCCATACAGAAGTTGAAATATCTGGACATGGTTTTTTCTTTAAATGATTGTAATGCAATCATCTGATAATATCACAAAGTTTACTTTGAATGTCTTGATGCTGAAATTCTTTCAAGATTATAAGTTTTGAACATCTCTTTACTGAATCTTAAGTGTCATGCCGTAATTCATTGGAACCTGTATTGCTACATGTAATTGACTGTTGTGACCTTTAATGAGGGCCAAGATGAAGTATATTTTATATAAGTTGATAAGCAAGCAAGTTAAGATACAGATAATATAAAGACACATATCATTACTCCATCCATCATGTATTATGGTTGAAAGTTATATCACCAGGTATACTCTAATATAAACATGTTTGCTAAGTGAATAACTACCGAGCAAAGCTATTTCTGTCTTCAAAAATTAAATCCAGAAAAACACTAAATATTCACCAGTTCCTTTTTGCAATAAAATATGAAAAGGAAATAATGATAGTAATAATAACAGTTCCATACTAATTGCTATCATCGAGAAACAATACATGACAAACCTTTTGCATGAAACAAATTGATTGGATAACTGTAAACGTTATTCATTATGAATGTTCTCATTCATCAAAAGAGTGCATTGTTCTTCACTGGTTGATCACTTACATCTGAGGAATTGAACACATCAGGTAGAAGAAAGTTGAGTAGAGACCACAGTTCATGAAGGTTGTTTTGTAATGGTGTTCCCGTCAACAATAGTCGATTTGCAGACTTGAACTCTCTGACAATTTCTGATAGCTGTAAAAATAAAACATGTTAACTTTCAACTTCTGGCATTTTCTCCAAGAACTTTTTCATTATCTCATTATTATGCTTCAATCTTAAAGTGATCTTATAATCTTAATATTGAATAATGATTTTGAAATAATTCAACCCCTTACCTTTGATTTCTCATTCTTGATTCTGTGAGCTTCATCAATAACAAGATATCGCCAGTTGAACTTCTTGAAGACAGATTTCTCCCTGATGACCATTTCATATGAGGTGATACAGACATCCCACTCACCTGGCATCAGGGTGTCACGGATAAAGGTAGCCTAATATATATAAATATACCAGTGTTTTATAATTCACAAAACAAACTTGATATTAAATGCATCTTGATATTGGTAAGTACATCACTGTTATGACCAGAAAAAAAGGTGAAAAATGGAGTCTATTGTTAAAAGTATGAAAAATGATAAAATCTTCATTCAACATCTTTCCATTACATTGGCATCGGGTAAAAGTTTCAGTAGGTATTCATACGATGTTATTAATTGACAAATAAATTTACTTATGCTATAAACCTAGAGACAATGGCTTTGACTTTCAATATCCTCCAACAGACATACCCTCTGTTCAGCACTTCCTATAAGGCAGACTGCTCGAAGACTTGGGCACCACCTTTTGAATTCACACACCCAGTTGGCAAGGGTAGATTTGGGACAGATGACAAGATGAGGAGATGGTAGATGCCGATAGTGTTTCATGTAGCCCAGCAATGATATTGTTTGTAATGTCTTACCAAGTCCCTGTAACAGTAACAAAACAATGAAGATCCTGTATATCTTGGTAACATGATACAAACGTACAAAAAAAACCATGTTACAGCAACAGGCGATAAATCTAGAGCAGAACAGACATGAAGTGAAATGCTCCTGCTAACATGATAAAGGTGACCACCTGAACTCCTTCTGGATGTTAATATCTTATTGATAGTCTTGTAAAAAGCTGAATTTATTTGGTTTAGGGAAGCTTCATACATAATTGTCCATCTCCTCTTCAACACATATTTAATTAATTACTTTCAGTGTATTATCTGCCTTAGGGGAGACTGCCTTAACTTACTGCTATTCAATTAATTAGAATCAGAAATCACTTAAGCTGTGTAATTTTCATGTATATGACCAAACAAACCAGAAGAAAGCCACTGGCAACTATATCAGTAAGACTTTTGCTTATGCATATGTGTAATACTTAAATCTAATTACTATAATATAATTGTTTTGATTATCTAAAGCTGTATGAACATTTTCCCTCACTGGTCTAAAGCTTGATGTTCTGTTTATAGTTTGTATAATTAAAAAATAAATTCAACAAGACAAACATTTTATTTCGCTAAAATTTTCAGGCCTAACCTAAATAAATCTAATTACTGAAATATAACTAATATAACATCTAAATCAAAATACATTTTCCCTCAGAAGTCTGAAACTTGAAAGTCTGATTATAGCATATCTATAATTGAAAATGAATTCAACATGGCAAACATTGTATTTCCCTAATGTTTTCAGGCCTAATCTAAATAAATGCATGTGCTTTGCTGAAATTCTTTAAAACTTTCTCAAGATTTCTAAGAAGCAAAATTCAAAGTGTCACTGACAAACAGACAAAAGGTCTTGGAGGGATCTTGGTGCCCACCATTGTTTTGTCTTATTTATTCCTTAAAAGTTTAATACACTCTTTTCTATTCATTCCCATGTTCTTGCTTTTTTATTACAAGAAATTTGAAAACTCATCTAAGAAATAGCGATGATTATCTTTAATGGGTAATTCCAAGATAGACACTTCTCAGCCATTTTGGTTTTCTGACCAGTTACAAAATCAAAAAGGTGCAACCAGGGAACAGAGAATGTACACACAAAATTTGAGAAAGAGCCATCCAGTAATTGTCAGAAAATACAGATGAATTCTCATTGGCGAAATTTCTCAAGAAATAGCAATAACAATAATTGTTTAAGGACAAACACAATAAAATACTTAAATAATTACATAGAAATTATGTGACCATGTTTGAATTTATCTACCTCTCTAGGACACTGATAAGAGTAGTACAAAGACTCAAATCTACCATATCTAAAAGTACTTACCATTTCATCAGCTAGAATACCATTGATACCATTTTCATACAGAGAAATCATCCAGTTCAATCCACGTACTTGGTAGTCCCTCATTTCTCCTGATTTGACGTCTAAAAAAATCAAATAGGTATTCTGTACATCAGGGTTATTTACTTTTAATGGAGAAGTTGTTTATTTTTGTTCAATAAAATTTTACCATGGGTGTATATGAGCTTGGTGTTTCTAAACCCTCATAGTTGTCAAAGTTTGTAACTTGATATTTTTCAAGAAATGCCCTTTGTCAAAGAAACATGTCCTTGAGATACAATGGTTAATGATACTTAAACAGAAAAGCTTTGACAGGAACTCTTTTGCTCTTGATCATAAGAGTCATTGTCTTAAGTTGCAGTCTTTACAGTTTACAGAAGTAGCATAAAACAATCTTTCCTCTATTTGCTCACCATCCTGGTTAACTTTAAATTCAGGATGGAGCATCTCAAAGGTTTACGTACATCCAAGCACTGTATAATTCTATCTGAACCATTTACATGGTTTGATTTATGGTAACCCATTAAGGATTCATTGTTTTCTCTTATCCTGGACAAGTACTAGGTGACATTCGCCTTTCATAACCATATTACATCAAAAATGTCAAGCACTGCAAATCATTCATCATATGGTGGGCTAGATAGGGGATTCCCAACACTTACTTAGAGGTGGATCAATTCCGAATCTTATCAGAACCTAGTATTTCTACTAACTAATGAATAAAAATAACTTACATGATGGAGAGGAATCAAAGCGGTATACACTGTTCTGAACTTTTTTGCTTTCTGTGAGCAGCTCCTCATCTTCCTCCTGTTCAGTTCTTCGATGTCTATGACTGTAAATTTTAAAAGCACCCATAAAATTTAATATTGATAAGGCCAAGCTATAATTTTAAATGGTCTTCTGAAATTGATTCAGTTACAATCACATACAGATCATTATTGCAACTTTTGTATCAAAGCTCATTCTCACTTCTTATTGAAAGTTTCAGTAAAACGTTCTATTGAATCCATCTCCATATTGGAATGTATCTCAAGATGTATACATAAGCCACATGATCAGACTGTATAATAAATTTCATCGCTGCTGTTGTATTAAAAATAGCAGTCTTAAAATACAAAAAAAAAGAAAAAAAACATTTTTTTTGGTTGCAAAATCATGATTCACATTCAGGTTACTTGTTTATTAAAATTGAAACTTTTCAAGGATTCAAAGATCTTGAGTTCTTGACAATTTTTCAAACCCATCATTTTCTTTTGGTCTAAAATTTCATTAGTAATCCTTTTTTTAATTTTCTCTCTCCTCTCATGCTGAGAATTTTGTAATCTAATTGCTGGACCTGTATTTTCTGAGAAATTAAGAGTTAACATGACAACATTTAACAAGGATCTAGATGCTAACACCTATCAGATATATAACATCCTGGCCTCCCTTCTACTCATTACAGTTAAACAAAAAAAACAGAGGCAGATATTTCAGTGTGACACTTATTACTATCCAAAGTCACTGAAATGTATTTCCAAACCTTGTTCATCTTTTACAACATCACATTGCCCTGAGTCTATATCAGTTTTATGCCCACCTTCTATTGCCCATTTAATTGTTAATTAAATGCGATATTTTAATGTAGACTTATCAAAGATCATTTGAATCATTTTGTTAGTTTCAGACCAACTTTATTTCTTAAAACATTATTTTCTAATTCATCTAGCTACGACATTCAAAAACAAAGTCCAACAACAAATGATTAATCTCTCTATATCACATACTCTCCAGATGTTGCAAGTTTCTGTTTTTCATCTTTTTTTGTCTTTGGACGACCTGGTTTCATTTTCAAGGGACTTGTTGGTGTTTTACCACCTTGTGGACCTGCTCCAGTTTGCATGAAATGTGAAAACAATTCTGTCTGTTTGAGCAAAAACTCAAATCTGTTTCCCCGGTCTGCTTCCTGTCAAAAAAAATTATAACAATCGGCAATGAAAAATGTATACCTGTTCACAAGTCTTTACAAAATGCATCAGTTGAGAAAAAAAGAGGTATATTGGGCCTGTGTAATTCACATAGTATTCACCTTACTACAGAGAACATTATACACCTATGCAGAGCATAGAATCACTTTCAGGCAAGTGAAATGAAAATCACAATATAACAATTTTCAGTTTCACAGCTGAGCTTTGATATTAATCAAACCTTTCCAGATGATAATCATTGCTTTAATACAGGCTTGTGTTCATACAAAATAGGGAATGCTTGTGCAAAATACAACTCCTTTACAATGCACTTATAACTTTCACACCAACTGTCTGCCATAGATTCAATCAATCTGGGGCATGGAGACTTACAATCTTTGCATCAAATTCCTCTTCTTCCCCTTGGGGTTTTGGGGGTGACTTCAGAATCACTACTGGTGCCTTCCCTGGGGGCTGGAAACAAACACAAGCATATATAATTCACAAAAAAAAAGAAAAGAAATGCACAAAGTTCCCCCTGTTGTAAGGAAATAATGGAATATTTGGTCAGGTATTACATCAAGAATGATCTCCCTTCTTGACAATCTACCCTAAAATTAGCGTGACAATGTCATTGTCTAACTTTGGGAGGTTTTTTAGTCCAAATGATGCGGTGTGATCAAGCCAAGCCAGATTTTTTCAAACAAATAATTTCAACAGTACTCTAATTTCAGCCACATTAATTTTTGCACATTGGCATTTTGATTTCGCCATTGACCAAGAAGCCATGCTGAACGCAAATTCAGAGGGATATAGCAATTGTGATATTGATGGATGGTCATAGCCAAACAGCTGTCGCACTACAATTAACTATGTCTATAAGTTTATATGCTACTGGGTAAGTGTTTCATTGTTCCAAGAGCAGTCGTCCGTTTGTAATGACCGCATGGTAAGACAGGACGATTTGACTGTTGTACTTGTGCAACAAAATCAACACTGTTGTAGAGATTGCGTCACATACCTTAGGTACTCGTGACAGACCCATTTGTGTTCAAACTGCCAGGAACTGCTTGCATGCCCAGAGAATTAATGTGCGTCAACCTATGTCAGACCACCTCTGACACAACGGAGATGGCAAGTGCTTCTCGCCTGGATATGCAGACATGTCGGGAATAAGTTTGGGATTTGTTGGTGAAGGCGTGTGAAGCTCACCGACCAGTCCTTTCACTTCTCCGATGCCATAACTTAATTTTTCAGCAAGACAATGCTCGATCGTATCTTCCCCAGTCTGTTGTGATTTTTACATGGCAAACAATGTTCAGCTTCTGCAATGGCCCCCATATAGCCTAGATATGTCTCCCATTGAGCATGTGTGGGATGAATTGGACAGGCATGTAAGGAAACATCACCCCCCCCCCCCCCGCCCCCTCCGTCCCCCAACTAACCACACCCAGCATTAATACAAGGATGAACAACCATCCCTTAAGGCAAATTTATATTCTCATGAATTCAATGCATAGCAGAATCCATGCTGGGACTTGTGTGATAGGTGCCCAAACCAGGTACTGAAGTGTCATTTTGTTTTCTGCAGGTATCCCACTTTGGGTAACTACTGATGACACAAGTGACATCACATCAAACAGACTTTGAGTTGAGTATAGTATAAGCAGTAAGTCAACTGAAAAAGGGGCCATATCTAGTCATGGAAACTGACTGTTTACCTTGCAAAATAAATGTCATTTTCCAAAATTGAATATTATCTCCCTGACGTTCTTCTATCTTTCCCAACATAGAAGTGTGTAAAGACTGAATGGGTATTAGTTTGAATCCCAGCAGAAGCAGGATGTTATTCATTGCTCCTTCCTATTACCAATTTGGTGATGTTGGCCACTCCAAAAGGTAGAAGCTATGGGAGACTGACATGCTTCATTGGAGATATTGAACCTTGGTCGTCCTTGTCTTCATGGTTGAAGACGTGAAGGAGGGTGTAGTGTAGTCATTGATAGTACAGGTCGCCTTACTAGCTTCGGCTAGCGGGAATTTCCCATTAGTCGAGCAGTAGAGTGTCCAACTAGAGACCGAACTCCACCAGGGGCAGGCCATACGGCGTTTTTCATTACTCCTTCCTATTACAATATGATTCAATGAAGGCACTGCAGTTAACTGTTCGTGAAAGTGAAAGTCGCCGATAAAAATGACAAAAGTCTTAAATTTTACTACCGACTGATCGTAATTATTGACATAATTTGTTAGAAGACCTCTCGATTCTGAAAATCACCAGTAGAGTGACTTTGCCAGAGACGTATATAGTTATATATGTCTCCGACTTCGCCAAATGGATTAATTAGAGTTTACCTATATTTGGAATTTACCTTTTATTTTGTTATGACGATAGGAATGATAAATATTGAAAGGTCTACTATATTTCCGTTCAACGCAGCAACGTATTGGTAGGATTAATGCATGAAAGTAAATTTAGTATCGTCAATGGTTTCATTTTCTAAAATTCTTCTAAACGTTCCGATATTTTGTGAATTCTACGTTTATTTTGATTACCATGAATGAGTCACTTTGGTCCATAGCCTCGTCGTTGCTGTCTGATTCTGACTCCGACATCTTGATGGTTTTGTTTTTCGATTTTCCACTGTTTTGGCCCCCGTTTACTGTCTTTGTCCCGATGTCTTTCGAAACACCGGCTCTTTTGGCGGGGGGATCATAAAGCTATGATTATAAATAATTTGACAATTATTTCACTAAATATGATATATTTTTGTAATAATATGATAAATTAGAAGCAAATATGATATGAATTTTAATTTCTAACGATAAACACGAATGATATACAATGAATTTACGACGGAAAAAAACGAAGGGTGTCTTTCAGGGGACCTAACTCTTGTACGCAATATTTAAGGTTACACACCACTATTACGCATATATCTACAATGTACAACGCTGAAACACAATATTCATCAGTTTTATTCGTAAATAATTAATAATAATAATAAAAGTTTTGTCCAACGAAATAAGAAATCATTTTTATAAAATATACGCCACATGAATAATATACAAACATATTAGTATCTAAATTGATTCAGTAAGTAAGTAAATGTTATATTACTAGGTACCTAGGTCATATTAAAAATAGCACTGACCTCAAACTAAATCCAGCTGGCTTTATCTTTATAAATCGTTAATATAAGTTTTTATAACAGGAAAAATCTCATGGAAATAGTTTTGGGAAAATATGATTTGGCATTCTACATGTTAGATAAATAAACGAATAAAATAAAATACATAAATAAATAAATAAGCACATATCTGCCTCCATTGGAAGTAAGATATTTATTTTTTTGTGGGACGCTAGCGAAAGATGTATCTATATTGAATGCATTGTATAGCAATACAAACGGCTAAACAGTACTGATTCGCCAAATGTCCTACCCGAAGTGAAAACTTCATCTCAGACAATTTTGACCCCAATAAAAATTATGAAAAATAAACAAGTTCTCTGTAACATTTTACAGGTTGCTATGATAAAACCTTTAAAAAATGTGAAAAGGAAATAAGTAAATTTGCATTTGTAGATGTTTCAGTCACCTGATCGTTTTAAAACTGATTTATGTAGTCCATGTTAATTCTTGTAGTTCTTGATCAAGCGTAAATTGAAAATATCTGGAAAATCCAATTTGCATATTTAAAAAAAATCATTTAAATATGTTATTAAATTTGGACATAGTGACGTTTAAAGGCTCACTTTTTAAAAGCAAAGACACGCCCAACATCCCCCTTTGGTGTATTTCTTATATGTGTGTCGTGAGTTGTCTATGTGGATGTAGAGTCATTTGCATGCATGGTGCTGTTTCACTTAAAATTCAATACAACGAATAAAACCAGCCTGTGAAGAGGTATTCATGTTATAATAATCAACTACGTAGCAATATTTTCACGGAAAGGCTAAAATATGGTGAGATTTTGAAGATATTGGGTTCTGGCGTAGCGGATCTGTTTCACATACCGTTCAATATACGGTACCTATCCCGTGATACATATTGATACAATGTAAAAATAATTAAATAAAATTAGTTGAACGAAGGTCGAAGCCGAAATTTAATACCACAATTTATAAAATGCAATGCCCGACATTAGTTCACCGTCAGATTTCATTGATATTGTTAAGTTAGTGTATTTTGAAATGAATGGTTTTGAAACACCGCAATTAAGATTTGTCCTGTTGTATATATAGAATACAAAAAACGTGTTTACATCACGTCTTCAAAACGTTTTACATGTAATTGGGTTTCTTGGGTAGAGGCACGGACTTTCGCACATCTATGACCAAGACCATGTACATTGTTATTATATTGTAACAACCTTGGTGTATATAGGATTGTAAATCAACAGAAAAAGATTCTTGACCATTTCCTACACTACGTATGTAAGTGCTAGTACGCTACTCATTGGTCATTTGTCTGATGAAGGTGACCTTGTAGTCATCGAAACGTCATACTATTATCTTCTACTGGTTATGGTATAAGAACTTCTATTCCATTACAACTTGATAAGTAGAAGAAAACCGGCTGGCTGTGATCTTGGATTTTTGGTTTTAGGGCCATTTTAAGTAAAAAATGTTCAGAAAAGTTTAAGAACAGGATAACTTCGTGAAAACAGAGATGTAGTCTGTATACACATTTTAAAGTTTTAGGAAAAATAAAGAAATTGAATACACAATATTGCTTCAAAAGATCGCAAATGTCAAATTTCTTAAAAACTGGTTCAAAACCAAATGGTCAAGATCTTGAGAATCCTCGAATACATAGAGAATCGATCTGTCAAATTTCATGAATCCCCCGAGCACTCTTTTCAAACAAATTTCTTACATCTTGTCTTTTTCCACAAAAACTGCTAGTGTACAATTTATTGTGTGAAAACTGCTGGATAGATGCATCTTTGTATATCAGTGTATATGTCAAAATATTTTCCAGGTTCCTTGCTTACTGTATTGTATCTTATCAACAATTAGGATTTAGACATGGCGATTCACCCATTAATCTACTTCTTGCTCTCACTCAGGAAGTAAGATTTCATATTCAATTGGTAAAGCATTTGATCGCGTTTAGCATAAGTGCTTTCCAAGTTTTCTTGCTTTGAAATTCGGAGCTCAAGCCTAAAATGGTCCAAAACTATCTCTATTATCGCTAAAATAAAAAGGAGTTGTTATCAACGGAAAATTTACGATCTCAGTAAAATTGATGAATGTTTAGTAAATTTTAAACCTACCAAATCTAAAACCTAATTGATATCTAAGAAAACTAATATTTCTTAAAATTCATCCTCCCGTAACCATTAACAATACTTTACTTGGCTTGGTAATATTAACTTTATTAAATCGAAGATTTCACAAAAGCCAAAAAAATTTCCATGCAAAATTAAGTTCAGTGTGTATTGCATTCCTCGTTGAATTTTGTATTTTATTTTATCTATTTTATCTTTATTCATCTACGGTGATATGATAGGGGATTTCTTTATAAATACGCAATTTGGCATTTTAGAATAGAGGATGTGTGTATTTTATTGGCGGAACTTTGCTGACTGGTAGAGTGAAACTTGTTTTTGAGACAGGCGGACTTCCTTTAGAGCAAATACGCAACATACTAAAATTACGCATTTCCGTAAAATGACATCTGGTCTTCTCCTTCAGTATCTCGAACAATTCTTCCTCAGCGTAACAACCATGATTACAATATTCGTGTTGGTAAACACTTTCGTCCTCTTGCTTGTCGAACAAGTCCTTGCATGAATTTTTTCTGTCATTCTTAAGTATCTGGAATTCTTTAATAACCAAATTGCAAATCATTTAAATGCAAAAAGTACCATCTTATTTCCATAGCCGTAGAAGACGAGGTCAGATTCACCATGCAAGACTGAGGATGAAGCGCAGTTCACTAAGGTTTTATCTATATCGTAGAAAACTTTTAACAATCCACTGTTCTCTTTGTAATCAAAAGGACGAGACCAAGGAACGCTTTTTATTACAATGTCGACATTTTCATCATATATTGTACATTTATTGGTCTTGTTCTTGATCTTACTTCGAAAACCAAACACGATGCAGAATTACGTAACCAATAGAAAATGAATCATTTCACTAACAAAACGCAGCAAAGCACGAATCTTATAACTGTATATAACAATATAACAATATTCAAACATATTTAACGGCAATGTATGGACAGGACAGACAATATGATTCAATAATTATTATAGAATGTATTGCTGTACACATGTTGAATCGTTTTCATACATAAACATCATTCAGTGGAAATAAAAGTACGCATAGACATTTATACTTTTTTGACGACACAACTACATGGAATTACGACGGAAGGACACCCTTCGTTTCATACTGAATTTTGATTTTGTAAAGATAAATGTGTTATCACATGTTTCAGTGTGCTTGGCTGGCTTTCCATGAAGTGTTTTGACGTCTTGTATGAATTTAGGCACGTCGGACACCAAAATCAGACCCAACAGTAGAGCGATGAATATTAATCCGATACTGCCAATTGTTTTTGATGAAGGTCGATTATCGTTGGCGCTGATAAATTTATTCCGGTATGACGTCAGGGTTTTAACATCAACCGTATTCTCCTCTTTTATCTCGACAACTAGTTGTTCAATGTATTCAGGGCTGATATATACAGCAGTGTTAACGTCGTTAGAGACAGATGACGTCACGTCTCCTGTAATGGAAGAATAAATACAATAATATCAATAAAGATCCCGTAAATACATTTCACATACCAACAGAATCTTACATGGGTCTGTTTCTTGGACAAGGGTATCCCAACCGGAACGTACGAGTTTTGTTGGTTATCACGAGGTTTATCAAATTATTACACGTCGAGATAACCCTGTCCGCGGAAAAAAAACCCACGTCATTTGAATAATTTTCTTCAATACTAAAAAGTCAGAAATTTTAAGTTGTTTTGAAACTTATTTATCACGTCATCTTCATAGGAAACCTATTCCCCTGATTTGTGAGATGGTTAGGCTACGTAAAATGATGACGCTACTCGATTATGAGTAACGTCACAGCACGTGCAATTCATCATACCGGAGGAAGAGACAGAGAAATCGTGAAAAGGTAAAATTGGAGACAAATCTGTGAATGATGGCAAAAGACACACCTCACAAGTATTACAAATGTAGGTTGTCTCAATGCACAAAATATTTGTTTTATCAGCGATTCTAATGACGAGTACTTGTTAGAAATAAAACGTTACAAAGTGAAACAGTTATTTTATATCATAATTATGATAAACAAACAACTTCACACATCAGCAGATAACTTGGTATACGATGACGTCACTCTTGGGAAAATGTATTCTAGTAGCTGAAAGAACGACACAGAAACAGTCTTTTATTCAGAATTTAAAAATCATTTGATTAAAATGACGAAGAAATCTTCAGATGGTTTACACTTAATAACGATTTGAATTTCGAAACCTGTTTTGTTTGCTTTAGTTGCTAGAATAAAACAATCGTTTACTTGCTTTTCATATGAAATGAGTATTCAGTATAATCAAATATGTAAACTATCTTGAACATTACCCTCAGCAGACTGTGTTGAGATGATAGTCGTTGTTGGCGGAGCAGGTTCCTGGTAACCTAAGTACGAGGATATATTGATTGTTTAAAACTAAATTTTAAAATATTATCTCAGTATCGGTTCCATATTTCAACGTTAAAATTAGTTAAATGAAATAATCAAAGCTTTCAAATAGATCTTATATATTAAAATCAAATGCCCCAACGAAGTACGGTCATTATCAATCTATGATTACAGATCAGAGAATTTTCAAGTGGCAAACTAACACACGATTATCACAATCAACAAAATATATTGTACTTACATGGTAAATCTGTAAAATTATAAGTAATATTTTGGACGGGACTCGTCGTGACATCAACTGTAAAAAAGAAACATTTCTTTATATTGAAACTTAAACTGTGATAGTTTTTTTTTGTATTTAACAAACACATGATAGATTCTACAATAAATTTCAAAAACTATATCATTATGTTTTTATCAATGTCTGGTATCTTAACGATTTCCTCATTATAGGCCTAAATTTCTGTAAATATACTAACTTTGCTCATTTTGGGTTTTCACGTATGAAATGGTATCATTGCCAACGTAGGTAAGAGTGAATTCGATGGGATAAAGAGATATATCACGTTCCGATATGGCGCAAGTAGAAGCGGTAGAGTTGTGCTCGCAATAGAACCGATGATGGGAATAGCAATAGGATTTACAGTCTTCCAGTGTCGAATTATCTTTGACTACGATATACGTCAATTCATCCTTGGAAAGTTTCGCCATACCTATATACTCCTTCAAGTATCCAGTGCCTATCGTAATAAAAGACAAAGTAGACTTAAATGATACAACGTTTTCATTGTGTTACAAGCGGCAGAAATAAACATTCACCACGACAAACATACTTTGTAGGACGGTACGATTACATGTTAAAGAGTCCCTTTCAAAACAATTAAGGTTTTTACTCTTGTTAAAACGTTATACCGCTCATGTAGTTATAGTTATAGATGATTATTGTACATGAATTAAAAAAAGTTGTATTTATAGTATAATACTGTTAATACCGGAGATATTAGCTGTTACCTTTAATGTTGTATTTAAAAGAATCTCTTTCAGGAGCAATGGAATTCTGCCAATGCACCAAGTTAATTAAAAGTAGGTGGTAGTTGCAGCACCTTGAGTGACTACACATGAAATAGGATTATAAATTTCGAAAGGTCCATAGGGCCTGTGCTGCAACCCATTTAGTGTCGTAACCATAGGAGTATGACAGGGTTTACTTTTTTTATCTGAAAAAGTATTAAGACCACAGCGGACATTACCAAATGATACACCATTTGATAATCAGGGATCAGTTTGAGAATATGATGGTAAATATGTATCAAAATATTGCAAAATGAAAAAGAATCATAGTTCCAAAATTTAAAAAGTATATTTTTATTAGAATTAAGGGGACTTACCTATAGTTTTGCTGCAAATGAATGAATGACGTTCGAAACACGATGCTGCGTACCAAGTGTAATCTATTGGACGAGGATTGGTTGTTGTGTTAAGTAAAGCACACTGTCGCTCGGCAACGTTGTCATTGGCAAAGGTGGTTTCATATGTCAAGGGATTATGGCATTTGGTACCTAAATACCATTTACCATCCAGGTTTGGTTTATGAAAGCCTATCCATAGCGGTTGTCCAACCAACCTGAAGGCAATAAAACAGTAGATATTGTGATTTTCAATAAACTATAGTCAGCTGTTTCAACCAACCATATATCCCAGTTTATAAAATAACTGTAAATCTTACACAGTTGAGTTCCTAGTCTTTAAATTCCATAGGTGTATTATTTCCATTGGTTGCTATGGAAATAACTCGGATCACACATACCAAACATATGTACAGAACAGGATTAGTTTTTGACTGAAAAAAATGATTCGACATGATCTTTGACATACGGAGGAAGCTCAAACGGCCCCTCCACACAGCATACAGGTTATTGCACGGAAATATAAGCGTGAATGTAATGACATCACATGACCACATGATGTCTTATTGTCATGATTTGACTGGCAAAAGTAATTTGGCAACAGACATAGCCCATGACAGCCCTCTCTTCGCTATTATAAACAGATACAAACATCAAACAAATAACGACTGAATACAGTGATAAATACAAAATAGTAACAGTTTTATTGGTCATAATATCAGTCAAGAATCAGTTCGAAAGTCAGCGTGAATATTTACTTACAAAGATGTCTGGTATCAGAATGAAATTATTCATAACTTCATTTAGCAAATAGAAATTATTTAGAAATGTTTGAATGTTTAAAGGAGTACGATCGCTCAGGTCAGACAGAGAAGTAAAAATGCTATGTCTGGTTAGAAAAGAAAGGACAATGAAGAGAGAAATGAAAACAAATTTCAACCTGATGACCACAGGTACAGACAGGTCTATTTATTATGAGGGAATAAAGTAAATTAGAGTTTAAGTTACTTATAGAATTTCTTGGCTGACATAATGTTATATTAACTGGTGTTGGGCATCTATTTATCTATTTCTAATTCTACAGACCTAATGGTCCACTCAGAGAATGGATAACAACAATTCAATACAAATTTAAAATATCACAGTCCGTTATGCATGTAACTCAGACTAAAATATACATTTGGATAATACAAAAGGAACTAGTGATACAATATTCTTTAAACGAACTTTGCCAGAGATAAACAAAACATATCACTGTCTGATGCAAAAGCAAGAGAGATACAAGTGCATTAAGGCCCGTTTAAAACACTTTCTGACGTTTATTCGGCTTTTCTGGATATAAAACTGATTAAAACGAATTGACCGTAGATTACGATTAGGGATTTCAAAACGTATTAGATTGATTTAACATGGACAGTCAAAAAAACTTTTTACGCATTTGAAAAGACTAAAATGTCAACAATGTCAGCGTAAGACATGCAATTGCAATCGACTTGTTCTTTGAAATATAAACAATTTTTTGACAAAATTGCGCTGTAAAATATCAATATAATAAATTAAAGTTTGGTAAGGAGATAATACCTGATCATAATATTCTAACTCCTAAGAGACTTATCAATAATGACCTTAAAACAGATATTTGTGTGTAACTTGAACATGTAGGTTTTATAAAACCGAACAAGCGCATTGCTTTAGAAACTAATTGACATTGTTTTTCAAGAAAATGAATTGTGATCTGTAAAATAAGGGGTGCCGACACATTTCGCAAAAAAATAAGCCAACCGAACAAGCGCATTGCTTTAGAAACTAATGCGGGTACTTAAAGTACTAAAAAGAAGCCATATCTCTCACACACGTTTAATTCTTCAGGTTATCGCCGTTCATACTGTTTTTTTGCTTTCATATTCCACACAGAACACCAATAGCATATTCTGCAGCTTCTCGCACCCTGACAGCGCATTTACGCACTTATAAAAATGACTGTCGTCGGTTTTTAGAAAATTTTACTACAGTGGACTGTTCATGGATAAAAATAAGGAAATGTTTCGGCTCAATTATCGAACTTTTGGTACACCGGAAGGTACCTCACACCAACCGGATGTTGCACCATGGACAGTTACACGCTGGAGTAAGTAGTAAACCGATATTACAAGATACCTTCCACAACATACGATTTAAACTTGTGTAATAATAATCTGTGATTAACTTTGTCAAAAGCCTTTGAAAAGTCAGTATATACCGCATCTAATTCTTCAATACGTGGAGATGAGATTGGTGATATATACAAGAAATAAATAAAATAAAATAAAATAAAAGAGGAAGTAGAGATACTGATTAGAGACTTGATTACATTTACCTGATTTTAGATAAAAATAGCATTAGCCATTTTGAAAATACATGGAAATATATAATCGTTCAATGAATGTTGAAAATGTTGCACAGTGGTACATATAACACATCAGCACACTTTTTAAATACTACTCAAGGAATGCTGTCGTAGCCTCAAGCTTTTATTTTACATCTATTTATGCAAGTGCCTTCTGAACATCAGTTTATTTCAAATCAATTGTGTTCAGAGGGGCAATCAATTATTTTTATAATATATTTGAGGAAGATAACTGTTGTCGTCCGCAAAGAACAAAAATTTGAAGAAAGAAGTTTGAACCCAGAACTGATCATTTGGGACCCCCAGGGGAATGGGACAACAGTGGTATTGTTATTGGTTCTATTACATACAAGAGAAATCATACACACAGATAGCTATACCCAACTGTACTTACTCTGGAAAACGAAGAATCATTTCTTGTCTGATATAAATAAAAGGCACTCCTTTTGATCCGGAATGAGCAATATAACTCTTCAGAGTTGAGCATTCTTCTAATGCATCAAACCAAGAAGCATTTGAGACCACAAGAAGAGTTTCATCCAAATTCTCTCCCCAGGCAGGGTATGCTGAAAGAGACGTCTGGCATGAGTAAAACTTAACACCAGTAATGAATTGGTCAGAAAAATCAGTATTACGCAATATTTTGATAAAGAATTTCTAAACGTTAGTAAATCACAGAATGGCTTTTATCGTAGATACAACGCATTCACAACTCCACAAAGAAGTAATCATACGAGATCAAAGCACTCCATATTCAAATAAGAATGAAGCGACCTTTCTTAAAATGCTTAAACTGCTGATAATGTACAGCAACCTTCAGATATGAACGTATCTTAAGTTATTTGGAATAAGATCTGTATTAAAGAAAATCGCTTCGAATTCGCTTACATTTGATATGATATTATCAACAGAAAATGATATTATAAGTTGTTTACATTTCCTCAGTTTCCTTCTTACTATTCTTATCTGTTGATTATATAAAATAAAAAAATCTATTGCTTTACTAATAGATCTAAATGTTATGATGAAATGACAAGTTTTATCGGATGTGATCTACGTACTCACAAACTATCGAATGTATGCCATGATATTGACTACTGTAAGCACTACTGTCATTTTCGAGGCTATACTGTGGACTGCTGTAAATTCTACTGTCATTTTCTAGGTTATACTCTGGACTACTGTAAGCACTACTGTCATTTTCGAGCCTAGACTGTGGACTACTGTAAGCACTACTGTCATTTTGAGGCTGTGACGTGGACTTCTGTAAGTGCTACCGTCATTTTCGAGACTATGATGTTGACCAATGTATGATTTACTTTCATTTTCAAGGCACTGCCATTTTCGAGGGTATGATGTGGACTACTGAAAGTTCTACTGTCATTGTCAAAGCTGTGTTGTAGACTACTGTAAAGACTGTTATGTTCGCGTCCGTGTTATAGACTACTGTAATTAATATATTCCTGGATTTTGTTTTCGAGGCTGTGATGTGAACTACTGTAAATACTGTTATTTTAGAAGATTCATTTCTTCATTTATTTCGTCGATCGAATTAAATCGCGAAAATTAGAGTCATGATGTATAGATACATAGATGATCTTGAAAATGTTGATTTTATCACTCTTGTGAAAAGCACACACTTTTTGTATAAAAATTTTAAAACAAAACCCTGTAACAACTATTCAAAGAGAATAATAATATCTATTGACTTCAACTTTCAGACGAGAAAAATGACATTCCAGTTTCCCTTTTACGTACTTTCTTGTTGAAATATATAATCGAGTCTTTATTAACTACACCTAACTCGAATTTTTTTTAGGCAAATCTCTATATATTTTTTTCCCTGTCCAATATTAAGCGGAACTCATCTCTAAATCGAAATGTTTGGTGGGTATATAGCTTATAATGGAGATAGAAAAAGAGCCTTGAGGCAGACAAAAGATCATCACTGACATACTACCTGTGACGTTAATAGTTGTATTGATTGGTACCGGATTCGCACCTACATGCTGACCTGAAATAACAACATATATACACATATATAAATTTATGTGAAAAGGTTGTTTTCATATCATCATATCATCAAGCTTCACCGTTTCATCCTCAGTTTCTTCTACAACACAAATCCTAAATTTTTACCTCAATAATAGTTTATGTTATAGAAAATACATTTTTAGTGGTTTTGGACATCATGCTTTGAATCGTACAATCACGTTAAAATGAGGTAAACACTTTTATGATAGGAAGGAGATTATTGTGGTTTTCATATGACTATTCATGACCGAATGTGCAAACCAAAATAACAAATTGTTCAGAAGGACATTGCCAGTTTGAACTTGAATGCCAGAACTTCAGTAACAAAAACTCTCTTCTTCGTTAAACAAAATCAACATCAGGCGCATACTTATCACAATTGGACAATATTAATGATTTGAAAGAACTACGGTTGGTAATAGGAAGCTTAGTTTTGGACGACATATATGTGATTTTATGAATTATTGTGGAGTGTGAAATCCAAGGTGTATCAATGTCAAAAACCGGTTATCTTGCCTTTGAAAAGAGATTTTTAATATTTGTACAAAAGCTGATGTAATGGCGTAATGCAAAATTGGTACTTCATTTAATAAAATGTGACACTTACCTGCCATGATTGACATACAAAGTATGTACTGGCGCCATAGAGTCACAACCATTTCCAACTCACCCAAAATTTACAGTAGTCTTCACTGAATTGCAATTATATCGTTTTAATGAATGATGAAGTAATTTACATTGCTATACACATCCATCAGTCGGTATCGTTGTAAGACATAGATATATATTTTTCCTATACGACTATTTCCCAGTTAAACGATCGGTCCATAATTGGTCTCGCCTCAGCTAAAAGCTATTATCGGATTCTCGGTTTTTTGTTGAAGTATCGTCATAAGCTTAATTGCCTAGCGCATATATTATTATACAGGAAGTATAACTCTATGATAATTTGAAAAGGTTTTCCATCAACACCAGTTAAATCCATGAGAAAGACTGTGTACGAATGACACGTATTGTTGGAAGAGATAACGATCAATGGATATCGAAAGAAGAATACAAAGCTTATTGTATGTGTGCATTCTTATGTTAACGGCGTCCACTAATGACCACCACACATGTCAATACCACAGGTTTGTGAAAGTAATGAAAGACTGTTATTCTCTCATAATAATAAAGCAGGGGAGAATTGTTTTACGGTTGTTATAATGACTTTACTGGGAATATAGTTCTTTGTGGAATATGTAATTAAACGTGTTTAGGTATCATCTGTATTCCTGTTGGTGCTGTTGTTTATTCATGTTCCATTTCGTAGCATTACAAGCATGGATTGGCCTTGATTTACATGGCGCGAGGAGTCGATGAAGCAGAAGGCGCCTGCCGTTTCGGAACCCCAAGACTTATTGCGGTTGTTCTTTTCATGTATTTTCATGTAACTTTCTTCTGTTGATATCTTGCCCAAGTTGCCATGACGATATTTTCACATTGTTGTTTTTATCACAAGGATAATGATAAGATATTATATAACAAAAAATAAACTGCATGTATATGATAAAGATTAAAAAAAGATTAAAATAATCGGCATTGCTTCTAGGATAAATCAATGATTGAAGATCATAATCCAAACTCACATTAAATAAAACTAGGACAAATATGAACAAAACAAAGATCAACACTGTGGCTCATGAAAAAGTATATTAAACCAGATGGGTGTTCTAAAAGGGTAAACGTCTTCTGCTTCATCGACGACATCCAATTATGGTTAATCCAAGTAAGCAATACCACGCTCTCAAAACGAGATCAAAGTATACAACAACGGAACCAAACCTCAGTGTCCTTGAAAATGAAGAGCAAAATACGATTTGCGAATAACACAGTTATATTATCCCTCAAATAGCCTCAAATTCAAATTCGATGAAGCAAAGGAAAAATGTGAACAAAAGAAAGAAGCACGAGTGAGCATTTAGTGTTTTCATGGTGATACCTGCCATGTTACTCTTGTTTAACCCAAGTAATGTCACCTTCCAAATGAACAGAAGCAACAGCAATTCAAGTAATATTTGCTTCATATCGCATTAGGAAATAGAATAGTTCACAATGTGTCCACTATAACGAACGTTAAACTTCACCATAATTTTCTTTAACCTGCTTTTCTCGAAAACGTGTTTTTTTTATTGTCCGCCGACATCTTACACGAAATCGAGATACTGGAAATATGCGTTTGGAATGAGTTATATGAAATAAAACGACTTGAAAGAAGAAATGTTAAGATATCTTTGGAATTCTTTTTTGAATTCTTTGTGTAAAATATAGATATGTTACTGTTTAGCAAAAAGGTTTCAACGGTCGGCATGATCAGTATTAGCTGAATCAACTTGAAAGAAATGGATACAATATTTTTTAATATGATGTACTCTTTATCTGTGAAGTTAATATCTGAAGACTTTGCATCCGATACATTTATGGTAATGCCTCTATCCATGGTAACGAATACTTGTGAAAACACTTTTATTTTGCTCCACCACTTCATGATATTTATTGTTACAATTTAAACAGTAATAACAACGGAATAGATATATCTTTTGTTCAAGAATAATGTAAAACGGGAAGATCAGTAAGCTGTTAATGGGGAATTATTGAGGCGCGTAATGCCTGCATTGTGTGCTGTTTACTTACCCTTCAATTCGACAAAGGTCCTTTGTCTGTTCTGTGCCCTTCACTTTAGTCTTCAAATGACTTAAACTGTTGACGAACATTGACACACCACTCATTGTAAAACAAATAACAAGCAACAATGCCAACATGTAAACAAATATTGATTTAAAGTCAAAATCGATGACACAAGGATACGATACCTTGACAAATGTACACAGAGAGCAATAGCTGTACTTAAGGGCTACATAAATGGAATCAAAACAGATTTGCTGTCGCCATTTTAACATTTGGGATATTGCTCCTTTCGATTCCTCCCTTTCGGCTTTCTCTGTGCTTTATCATCCACTCTTGGCGTCCTTTTGACACCCATCCTCAAAGTACACTGTCTGATGTAAGAATGTTAAATCCAGTTTAAAATGTATATTTTACATTCATCCCCTTAGCAGAGATCATGCTTATGTGATAAAATGAAAATATTTCAAATGTAACATCAGTTTAAGAATAGATCAGGGTGCGTAACGTAATGAATTGCCAGTTATGTATTATGCTAATAACTCTCTCATAATATATATATATATATATATCTCCTTCCAATACCTGATTTACCAAATGAAAAAAACACCAAATCCCCGAGAACACTCATCGAAGACGAAATCCTATTCTTGATTGCCTTACCTGATCAAGGGTTTACAATTTGAGAAGAAAAGACACCTTTTGCGAGAACCTCGGTCTATACGATAAAGAATGGCTACCTTGGTTACATTACCAATGATATCTCCTTGAGAGAACATTTCGCTCAAGATTATCTTCAGTTAGGGAAGGTGGAAAACTACAGGAAGTTAAGTATGTAAATACATCTGTGGTTTCCTAGGCAGGCCAGTTGTGTTCAAACCTTTTAACCACAAAGGAACGCTGCAACAGCAAAATGTAGATGACCCAAATTCTATTATTTCGAGGACGTTTTGCCCTGAACCTATGGTCCACGTAGGCGCATATTAACTGGCGATTTATCCAAATGTTAAGCTACGAGAGTTTGTATGAAGAACACGAGATATTCCGAACCCCCTTCCATTGATTGGAATGTGATATTCAACATAATTATAGATTTAGAGAGTGGATGAAACGAAAGCACGCTGCGTTCGATTATCTTTCAGAATGCATCAAATCTGTGCGGCCTGTCATTTTTCAAATAACTAGCGTTTTGAAATCTAAAAAAGAAAACAAAAGGTAACATTTCTGATGATGATTCAACACACGATCGACACGCAATTTCATGGATGGTTCGTTGACCATTGTCTGCAGCCATTATTATATTTCCGGTATATAAAGGGAAGTAGCCATGTTCGATAACAAAGGAAGCATTACGTGTACTTTATCTAATACGTTCAAAGAAGAAATGCTAGCTAATCATGCTTCAGTATAGCTATTATTCATATTTCCTGTTATTGATAAGGATACGGACATTAATGGAATTGATTTTTCATGAATTTGAAAGGTCCCAAACCCGCTACTCTAAAACTCTCCTATAAGAACATTTATTTTATCCACTTTGTACACTACCATATCTCATCCAATGAACGCATTCGTTCTCTTGTTACAAGAGTTTCGTTTGAAATAAATGTGATTGGCGGTACATTTGTGAACTATTCTGAAACATATTTCATGAAAACACGTCCACAAAAAAGAAATTTATTGAGTGAGCAGCGTCATCTTCCCTTTTTGCTTTAATATAATGAAGACTTCGTCGAAGCAGGTCACACAACCATGCTAAGCACTTCAGTCTCTTTTCCAAAGGGAGCGATGAGGTAACGTCTTCAAATAATAAGAAATTTAGTGACCATGTCCGTCGACTATACGCACTAGAATTGGAAATCAAGAACATCACAAATTCGGCTGGATCAGCGGCTTACCTTACCTCGACCCTTTCCAACCAGGAACCAACAGGTATAGCTTTCAGACAAGCTGTATGACATGCGGGATGAATTTATTTCCCTTATTGTGATTTTTCCGTTTCTGGATAACAAAACCACTGCATCCACAACCTATGATCTTCACGCTCTCAGTTGATTCGAAATTTTTATGGTTATATGTTTCCAATATGACAATTTTCATGCAAGATGTCATCTCAGAAATTAACTCGCAACACTGGGTTTTGATTGCGGAGGAAGATTTATAGAATTAAAATTCTGCTGACATGTCGATATGTTCTTTTTGTTTACTATCTCTGAGTTTACTTACATGTATCGATATCTCGACAGAGTGAAATAAAGTAACGCAACAACTACATGTGTAATGCAGCAAATTCATTTGTTAAAATCATGGATTATCCAAAGTTCAACGATAATTTTCATCATATACGAATGTTAATTGTTAAAATCATTTTGGTGTCATATATATATATAGATCAATTTGAATAGGAAATGTCATTTTCGCAACGATGTAAATTTATTACACAGAATTACGACGAGTAGATGTATTTTTGAAAAATGAAACATCTGCTTGCAATGCTTTACGACTGTCGATAATGTTCCATTGATGTACATCATGACGGAGGTCTCGAATAATATGAGGTATATCAGACATGATGATGAGAATCAGAACAGAAGCCATAAATACAGCGCCCAGGAATCCCATAGCCCTAGAGGAGGGTCGGTTGTCAGGCGCACTCATACGTTTATTTCGATACGATGACAGAGTCTTTTCGTCGACGACGTTTTCCTCTTTTGCTAAAGCTATCCATTGATCAAGTAAACTAGAGTCCTCCCTCGCCATGGTAGTGGCCGTTACAAAGAGGACAGCTGAAAGGAAATATGATTATTTTAAAACTGGATTTACATCTACGACAGACCTTGGCCAAATCTAATAATAGGCCATCAAAGCATTATGAAATATACACCAACAAAAACACAAAACTTTTAAAAGATTTAGAAGATTCATTGAGATATCATGTTATTAAATGCGAAGAATTAATTATCTTGAGGGATCAAGTGTAGACTGCAATGTTTTAATGTTATATTTTACATTGAACATCTAGTGCAAATTAAGTAGACGTTTACACATCGCACACTGTTGTAGAGAAAATGTATACACAGTCTAAAATGACTATGATACATCAGGCGTTTGGTTAAGTTTTTAGGACGAAGTGTTAAGAGTCTATTGTGCAACAGTACATAAGATGGAAAATAAAGATACGATGACTTCCAAGACAGTCTAGAAAGAACTTGATTCTCGGAAAGCATTGTAAAAATACAATAATAATAACTAAAGGTCAATTTCAACAGTGCTTTTCTGACATAATATATTGCTGTATATAAATTGCTGATCAGAAAAAAAGAATACATTATTGTGGTTAATTTTGGAATGCTACTGATTTAATAGATGTTGTCTCTTTTCAGATATTACCATATCTACTACTTTATACTTACATACAACTGGGGTCGCAATTAGTAAAGGTTCAGTTTTATCATCAGTGCTATAATCTGTCCAGGAAAATAAGTTTTAATATTTTTATTGCAGTTTCAGTTGTCGGAATACAAAATGATATGAAAATTAAATAAAAAAAAAAAAAAAAAAATGAATTAAAGAAAATATTAAAAATAAGAATGAATGCTTTCCTATAATTGTATTTACCGGTTGATGCAGTCGGAGCAAGTGTTTCTGTTGTTTGACCATGACCATAACCTGTTCAAGTACAAATAATTGTCTTAAAAACATCAAGCAAATACCAACATGTCAATATATTCATAACCCAAACATATATTCAATAAACCGAGGGCAAACTATGAACAAAAGAAAGATTTATAAGCAGACTCCTGAAAAAGTATATGGTAAAAAAGATCAGGTGTTGCGGAAGAGTAAGCGTCTTCTGCTTACATCAAATGATACAAATGAAAAGTGAACAAAATGAAAAATGCAAAAAATTAAAATGTTTTTATATGTCTGATGATTAACACACAAGTAAGCTGTCTTGATAACCAACGATATAATTTCAGGATATTGTAGACCACGATGATTCCATCATAAAATCAAAAAGTAAAAATTAATTGTCATTAAATTTTCTTAGAGAAAAATGGACACGTGAAAGGTATATGCAAACTCTAACGGACACATGATCATCTTGTACTCACTCCACTCAGCTGGCCCTTCAAGCGTCCAGAGCTGTGAGAATTTAGTGTTGAAGGTCAAAAGTGCATCTGAATATTTTATTGTATGTAATAACTGTCTAATGACTTCCACGGTAGCCTCGAAGTCACATGATTCAGCAAACAGTACATCAGTTTCCCATAAACTCGATCAATACAGTTTCCCGTGTCAATCAGGTCTTTCACTTATTGTCGACTAGTCACGTTTCCCCAAGAAATCCGTAGCAATCAGTATTTTCACTAGATTGAGAAAAATGTCCTAGACATGAATTAACTCTAACACTTTATATAACACAAATAATTTCACTTCCGAGTGTTATCCAACCAGGAAGAATTATAACCAACCAAACCGCGCTATTAAGGTTAGCATTCCTGGAGCGATTCAAAGATATTTTCCATAATCCATAATCACGGTAAATTATCTAAGCAAATACACTGAAAGAGGGAAATCAAACTGAAGAATCATTGCGGAGATATACAAAATGAAGACTAAAGGGAATATTAATTGACCGGTAATAACCGATGGACTTGGTAGGGACAGAACTGTTTAATGATAATCATATTGTTAGCATGTCTGACAGGAAAACAAATTTTATGCCGCCATACTTACTTGCAGTTGGAGTCGGAGCAATGGTGGTTTCCGTTATATCGCTAATGTAACCTGCTCAAGCACAAATTATTAATTGATATACAAAACAGCAACGGAGAGAGAGAGAGAGAGAGAGAGAGAGAGAGAGAGAGAGAGAGAGAGAGAGAGAGAGAGAGAGAGAGAGAGAGAGAGAGAGAGAGAGAGAGAGAGAGAGAGAGAGGGAGAGAGAGAAGTACCAGAAAAAAGATTGAACAAATGATTTTTGATAAAAAATATACAAGAGATATTTTTCCTTAAAAATATGGACGTGAAAACTGGGTCGGTCTGAGGGTAGTATCTGTTCTTCACCCTTATCTGCTCAGTTATACATACTTAGACAACCATCACCTCAAATACAAATGTATGTACGAGAGCTTAGGTGCGATAATTTATTGACACCTACAACCAGTAATGAAGAGCTGACCCTTTTAATAGACAAACTATCTTATCATTTCACCCTTGTCTGTGTGTGAACACGGAATCAAAGAACTTGATGACTTACATGGTAAATCTGTAACTTGATAACTTTCGTTATAAACAGCGCTTGATAGCTGTGTCACTGAAACTAAAGTAGGATTACATGTAGAAGCAGCAACATTTCACATAATGTAGCATGTCAAATCAGCATCAAATTAACACTAGCCTTTTAATGTATTTCCTAATGCTATCGTACAATTGCAATCGATCAAAGTATTTCACATGTGAACGCAGGGCAAATACCAGTCTGGTTGTTACACGCGATCAAATTACCTCCGAATATGTATCGATAATTCTTTATCAATTCAAACGGCATGGAAAACATATTTTTACTGTTTTCAATACTGAGCTTGACTAACTTAAACGTTTGTTATGATATGAAACTTTGAGTTCCAATGGCTCTTTTAGTCTGTCACAACTTTTAACACCATGGTCACATCAATATAACGATTCTATAAAGATTTTCTGGATAAAACATGTACATATCAATTTGAATCATTATAAATAATTTTTGCTCATCGCTGATACAGCAGCTGGGGAACTCAATACATACCAATGTTTTCCTTGCTCTTCACGAAGGTAATAGTAGTGTTATCTTCGCTGATAAGATAAAATTTGAACGGTAGATTCAATGCAGACCTACTATACAAGGTACAGGTTCGTGATGGAGAGTCGTATTTCGTAGTAAACACCTTATTCGCTCTCACTTGCCTCTTGCAGTTTTCAGAAGTCGTGTTGAAATAAGTTTTCTTAGATGTATCGCCGCTGAGGACATTTTGTGGCTGCATGCCATCATATCGTACCACAGGTCGAGGCCCTTAGAGAAAAGAAGCTTTTGTACTGTACCATTAGAATTTGATGATCTTAAATGAGAACCAAACTAGTGTGCGACATTGTTATTAATTCATGACCAGACCCAGTGTATAACTTGCTGATTAACTGTTTAAACATCATAAATAGACGCTTGTAGGGATATAGAGTACAGGATATAGGTTCTAGATCTGACAATTTACAGAACAAGTCTCAAAGCTTCGTTCTAAATGGTAAATCATTTGAATTGTTAATTTGGACACCACTGAACACAAACTACTTGTAGAAATGATCCAGTGATGGAAATACCGACTGTCCGTGGTTGGATTAATGAAAGATCAAAGCATCAAAATCTTATATAAGCCGAATTATCATCGCTTTGATTTGTTTGTTATTGTATTTTAAAACAAAGGTACATAATATTTTTTCAACTTACCTATGACCTGTTCACAAATGAACGGATGTCGCTCGTAACAGGACGTTGCATACCAGCTGTTAGCCATATTTGCGGCATTCACTGACATGTTGAGTAGCAGGCATTGACGTTCACCAGCAGTGTTGTTTACAAATGATTTTTTCATATTCTCATTTATTGTTCTGTGACAGTCATCCCGTAGATACCAAACGTCGTTTAAATTAGGTTTCAATAGTCCCGTCCACAGCGGGACGTCTAGGAATCTGTTCATACAATAAATACACATGTTATATAGAAATTAACATCACGATGAAAAATTGAAGTTTTTGTGTTTTGAAATGTTAAAAAGTTATATATATATTTTAAAATAGAAGTCATACAAGAAATAGCAGTATATTAATGTCTTTGTGAGAATGATAGATAACATTTCATGAAAAAATATGAATAAACAATTTTCCACTCATTTTCAACTCCATACCTGGTCTGTGTTGTAAAAACAATAAAGCGGGGGTTACATTGACGAGTAATCTAAAGTAGAAAATTATGCTTAGGTTTTACATTTTCAATGTAAATACAGGTGTTATATAAAAAAACCAAGATGATCGAAGGTAATTGCGAAAAACATCTGCCTTGAAAATATAAATGCACCATGATTATCAGTATTTAAACATCTCCTGATACGTTGAATGTGCTAATACCATTTATAATCGCTCTATTCCATCTGTATTAACAGTGGAAGGCTAACTCTATACAAAATTTTCTTTAGTTGTGACAAAATACTAACGAACAACTCCTTTTAATGTCATACTTACTCAGGATGATTCTGGAAAAGGTAATTCCGGATATGAAGAAACAAATATCCAGTTGATGTTGCTATAGCAATGGAATAGCCAAGAGATTTACACTCCTTAAACGCGTCAAACCACGAGGCATTCGAATTGACCACTGCCAAGGAAGCCAATTTCGCTCCTCCAAAGTAACCTGGGGAAAACATGAATGGAAATTGAATGACATTCCTCATTGACTGAGTATATAATATACACTATCTAAAATTTATTCACAAATTTGTCTATCTTTCTGATTATTTCTTACTGATACTGTATGCGACTGTATAGCGTTAACAAATCAAGGTAAACTCGGCATTACATAAGGATATGAATTTTAAACATATAACTTTCACTTAGTGAATATTAATATGTTAATAGTTTGTATATAAAACTATATCTATATATTGCAGCAAATGTAGATAAAAAGCAATTTACATCAAATAATTTTTACTGTAAAACATGCTATGGTTTATTAGATAAATATGTCACTTCTAGAATCGTGATGTTCTTTAGTATGTTTGGACATATATAAAAACTAAAGTATACAGTTCCATTCTTGTACTAACGTTAATTAAATTGCCTCTAATATCGCGTACCTACTACACCAAGCGTTGAATTGGACACCTGCCCATTCCCTATCGCAAACATTTCTGTAAATAGATATTTCGAAAAAAATGTGCGTTAATTTATACCGCCAAAGATGTACAAGTTTAAGTATATCTTGAACTGTAGACTATATGGGTGAAACAGAAAGTGACAATGTATCATAAAAATATTACTATATATTCATGAATCGGCTTCACCAACCTAAAAAATAGCATCTATTGTTATTGCCTAACTACCTTTAAAACGACACAGCAATAAATCTTAACAATGTAGCATACCGACAATTTAAGGCAATAACTTACTTGTAAACGCCAAAAGTAGAAGACGAAGAAAAACATCCGAGTGCAGTAAATTCATATTCGCTCTGTAAATAACACATAATCACAAGAAAATATTTAAGTTTAGTGTTGATACAAGAATTGTGTAACCAAAAAGACATGAGTTCTCTGCAATTACCATTTTACTCATCAAGTCGTATTACAGCAAATAAAGGTGTTTTTACGGTTACTTGATAATCTTTGCAGAACAACAGCCATAAATAATTCAGAATCATAGTAATTAAGCTATAAAGCCGAGAAAGGATGTTACTTAACATTCGTTTCGAATCACTTTCCACACTAAGCCTTTGAAACTGTATTCAGGAAGAAAAAAAAAAGCAAAAACAATTAATTGCTAGTGCATTACGAAAACAACATGCATGTGTATGAAGAGATAGTTTACCTGTTTCCAGTCGCCCGATACCAAAGGGTTATCCAAAATCGTACATGTTACTTTAAGGGTATTTAACGTCATATCGAATTTCTATTTCAAATCATAAAAAGTGCAAACAAATGTTCTTCGATATAGAACGTTTATTGGTCACCTAATTTTGCAATTGTTATATTGTAATGTTCATAGTAGTAGTGATCGCTGAATAAATATAGATGTTTAGGTAGCTTCCGGTCATACCCTAGGCGGCTAAGCTATGATGTTATAAATTTATAGTGATTTGTTACATCGGTTTAGAGTTTGAACCAATGTCCTCTCTGCACCCATCGATAGATAAATGAAGTGCGTTCAGATCAAATTGTTGATGTAGTGCAATTATATCACTAATCTTTCCATTGCAAAAAGACTCTTTGCAACCTAAAACGAAGTCATTCAGTTAGCAAAAATGGTATTCTTTTATACCAGCATAAAACTAAAAAAACAAATCCTATCAAAGATTAAAAACAAATAAGCAAGAAAGACATCGATTCCCATTTAGATTTCAGACAGCTGCCTGGGTTAGTAACAACGAACTGTGTTCCCTCTCAAGCTCGATTCTTCATTTTACTAAATTATACAAAAATAAGCGTCACGAAACATAAGTAGGACACATTAGATGTGCGATATGATATAAAATAGAATGATTTAACGTAAAAGCAACATAGGAAGATAATATCTTGAATGATGATAATTGATAACGTATTTATATATCAAGTACATCCTGGCTGAATGCGATGATCTGGCCACATAGCAACGTTGTATGAAGTTTTATTACCAAAATATACGTTATCAAACTCCTATCCAGGTTGTCTTCTCAAAGTCTTCCCCGCCATATTGTCATATGCGCGTTTCACAGATTCACTATTTCAAACATCAGAAACGTATCTGTTCTCCTTATGTAACAAGTTACATACTGGATTATTTATATGTAAGTTAGATAACTCTTCCACATGATCCTCTTGGTAGTTGAACACATGTTTAAGCAACTCCACATACTTTGATATAAAATAGAGTTAAATCACTGCTATCTTGAAATTAAATTATCAGTGAATGCAACAATTCTTCAACAAAAGTATTTCATCATTTAAAAGGCACGAGCCTCATATACATACATGCTATTATAGCAAAGGATGACACGTGACATGATTATACACAAATATAGCATAATCTATCGTAGGCTATTAGATATATTTCTTTGTTGATGAAGAGGTAACAGGGGAAACATCACTAGAATACTAAGACATTGATATACAGTATTGAGGAAAGCTGTTTGTTTCTGAACTTTAAGTAGTTAATCCATCCAATAAGAGATACATCCTGAACACACAGTGCTGCAATATATAAAATGGAAAAGTTCAAATAATAAAGAATATACATGTACTTTATTTATTCTATAACAATTGCGAAGCAAGTTTTTCCAACTTATATTAATCACTCAACAATGTTGAACAGATAGAAGCGCGCAAGGGGTCTTCCTGTGGGAGGAAACCGGAGTACCTTTTCACATCCATTCCAGGAATAGAACCCGGGATGGCTATGTGAAAGGCGAGTGCGTTACCACTGCGCCACCCGACCACCCTATAAATTAAAAAAAAGCTATTTACTTTCAGTAGATAGATAGGAACTGATGCGACTTTATAAGCTCAGTCTTTGTCTAATTTTGGATAAAATGGCTTTAATTTGATCGATCTACATCAGTCATCAATGTTCAAATAATACAAAATAGAAACTGTTCATTTTTGCTTTTGTTGTGTTAAGATACACATGAATTTGGTTTCTTAACATTCTAATTTTAACACACCCTTTACTAACGTTGTTTAGGTCAGAATGATGAATAGATTGAAACATAATTAATCAAATACATTTGATATCTTGGAAATGAATTTAAATGCTTAAAAATGATTTTATTTGCAGCTTACACGACATGTTAGATAATACATCGATAACAATGATTATCTTTCAACATTAAACCGATATAAATAAAGGATGGGTTATTCGATCGTTTTAATGAAATCAATCTTCTGCATACGATAGATTACACGACAGAAAAGTTGTTTATTGATGGTGCAGAAATCTATATCATGTATCCATGTTTATGTTGTTTCCGTCCAGACAATCAACAATCTCCATCAATACGTGTAGAGCAGTCATAATGATCTTTTAACAAACGACTACATTAAAAAGCCGGTACAACATAAAAGCAAGCATTCGGGAAATTAGAAAACAAACATTACGGTTATTGGAATAGAACAATTAGCAAAATTGTTTAAAGGAACATTTGCGTCTGTCACCTGAGTGTCATTTACACATCATAATAATGTATCTGTGTAAAAGCATTGTTTAATCAAACATTAAACCGCCATCCGGCACCACATGAGAAGATATTATCACAGCTTGTTCAAAGTAAAATATTAATATGGATGTATTATATTAAACACACAAATTGGCATATTCAATTTTTTAACTTCAAACATTAAAATGTTGAACTCGATTCAAGAAATTATGTTGTTTTCATCATTAAGTGAAAAAAAAATCGAGGTCCTGGTGTAAATTGTATTTAATTACCATGGTGGCAGAGGCTTTGGACAAACAAATGCAATTATCGTTTGTCGGGAAAGAAAACATTATCCATGCTTTCTGTCATTATATCATATACTAGTATTAAGGCAATTTATCTCAACATTCCATTGAGTATATCTGATGAGCTAAAGTAGAACGGATGCTTCATTTTCTCAAAAGACTCCGTAAACTGAGATTGACAACCCTAGAGCACATACTTAGACCAAGATGAAATGTTCAAGCAAACTCGTCGAGTAATTTCAGTTATGGTCATAGCGGTTTGGAATAAAAGACTCGACAGGTTCAAAATCAACCATCATTGAAAGTTTGAAGCCAAACTTACATCAATAACTTTCGGATATCAATATGCACAGTTTTAATTTTTAATTCAATTTACGTATCACGTATTACCATTGGCGTCTATGACTATATATAATGAAACATGTTCTTTTTGCAACGGTCCAAGCGCCAGGCCGTCTGTAATGTTGAGAACATCTCGTTCTAGCCATCAATGCTTTCAACATTTTCAGTGGTGCACTTACGATTAAAACACATACTACATTGAAAAGCTCTTTTGGTCCTTTTCTGTATGGCTATAGCCGGAATGACATTGTCTTGTTGATGAAAATTTGACTAAAATGTATCGATTTCGAAAGTTACTTCCTGTGTATCAGTGAGAAGACACATGTGACCAGACTCATCAGCAATCAACCATACGTACAGTATAACAACAGTCACCAGAACACATCTTCATTACTTTAAATGTACGTTTGGCAAGTCCATGATTTGTATGAATATAACATGTCCCGTTTTACATGTAAACTACACCTTTCAAGTCAAACCATCATATTTTGATGTATGATAATTGTTTACTTCTATGATAGTCGTGTTATAACGTCGATTAAATAAATCATACAACTTACACATGCCATCTATAGAAACATATAGAGATGTATATCCACCTCTGTGTTGCGACAGTTTTACATTTTACTATATATTTAATTGTCCTTTCTATTTCACAGAAATCTGAAATATAGCACTAGGGAATGGTCGGTAGAAATGTCTAGATGTGGAGAAATACTGAAGCTAAAACATGGGGCAAATGCATATCTTAGCAGTAAGGGACATAAACGCGTTCTGCTTGCTAATGCTTTGTTTTGTTTATCAATTTTTCCGATATGTTGACGCATGTCTTTCATATATAACGTTTGTTGCCGCTTTTATTTTCTTTCCAATGGGCCTTTTGATGATGTGATGCTGGTATATAATCTTGTCTAAGTGTATAAGACTATGACACACCTGTACAAACAAAAGAACATGTTTTGTATCTTGCAGGAGTAGACTGTATGAGAAAGGAAGAGATCGAAATGTCACAGGTCTTTTTATCATCTTTTATCATCATCATTTATATGTTGGGTATGGCTATTCCTCATTGGCTCATGTTGGTATTCTGCTTGTTCTTTTCAGGAAGTTAATATTACAACTTTATGTATATTTCATGTATTAGAGCGTTTTATAGAAGATTGAGTTAAAGTTAAGACCAGTTAAATACCGTACAGCGAGTAATTTTCTTGGGAGTAATATTTTCGCGGGGCTCTAACATGACCGTGAACATTTGAATCTTATACTAATCAGAATAATAAGCAAACATTATCGGAAGGTTTTCCTTAAGAATGGAACAAAGAACAAATTTAAGTTCTTTTATATTCCTTGTTGAATAATATAATTCACTATGTTTTAAAAATATAGAATTACATGATCAACGAAGGAACTCCTTGTCCGATTGAACTTACCAGATTGACTAGATAAAATGCTTTTCGCATAGCATGTGTTCTGCTGTTTTAGATTCAGTAGACAAAATAAAACAAATATTGCTAATTTTATTTCTAAATAATCTTGAAACTCAGAGATTTTGAGCTAAAATAATTGAAAAGTCGGTGTGGTTTTATAGTTTGGCTGGCTATCCACTCTGATTTAGGTTTTAGGACTGTGGCACAGATTGGGGAAGTGCTCAGATCCATTGACAGATGTCAGTCTTCCCCGGGTGATCA